CTTTTTATTCTTTACTCTATATAATTTTAATCTTTATATAAGATTTAAGCCTATCCTACCTAATTATTATTTATAAATTTATAATACCTACTAATTTATTTTAATTATAAAATAAATATAAGAATATTACTATATTACTATAATTATTACTTAAGCCTGCTATAAATACTATATTAACTAGAAATATTACTCTATTAAATATTATATTAAGGACTAATTAATCTAATTAAATATTAAGAATATTATAATCTTATATCTTTAAAAGAAATTAAATTAAAAAAATCTAGATTTTTTTCTTATTAAAAAGATTATTAACTCTTATACTTATAAATTAGATTTATCTAAAAATATAAAAATATATCTAGTATTTTATATTAAATTATTATACTTAATTACTAAAGATCTATTATCTAAATAAGAGAAAACTAAATCCCTATATATTAAAGTTAATAGTATTAAGAAATAAGAGATTAAGAAAGTAATTAACTCCTGCTAGAATTATTATAACTAAAATAGCTACCTATATTTAAAGTATACTATTAAGTAGGTTAAATATTTTACTATTATTAAAGTTCCTGCTAGCTATTTAGAGAATATAACTAAATATATTATTACTTATTATTACTACTACTCTAGAAAGTCTAGACCTTAAGAATACTTTACTAAAGCTTAGCTTAAGAGAGGGGATATTATTATAATATAATTATATACCTATCTAATTAGATTCTACTCTAATTATCTATCTCTACTCCTATATTTAAGCTATATTACCCCTAATCCTATTATAGCTCTTCAAGCTATGTCCTTATCCTAACCTGATCCCTACCTGTTGTACCTGTACACAGATAGCCTGAATATACACCCTGCTGTTAGCTACACCTACTGCCCGCCTGCTCCCCGTGACAGATTTCTTCTTTAGTTTTAGCTATCTTATGTTAGTAAGTACCTGCTAATATTACTACTAACTATTCTAGGCTGCTGCCTGGTAGTATTAGATAGGCTGTTTGCTTATTTATATTAGTATTCTTATCTTTATCCATGGCTTTAAGTACTAATCTTAATATTTAAACTAGATAATCAAGTAAGTTAAAATTACCTTCTAGAATATCCCCTATTATAGGGTAATCTATATTTAATACTCCTTAGATTAGAATATAGGTTTTAACTTTAATATTCTTAATTATTTATTTAAATTTATTAATTTTAATTATTAGGAAATTATCTTTTATTACTTAGATAAATATATCTCTATCTTCTAAGAAAAATTCTTCCTTATTAAATATAATATTTCTTATATAAATAATCTTCCTTTCCTTCCTTAAGTTCTATATTTAATAGATATTAGTAAATTTATATCTTATTATATATCCTATAAATATTCTTAGGTTAAATCTCTTTCTATACTTTACTATTATAGTTACTTATAATTTAATTATTATAAATACTTTATAATTATATATCTTTAGATAAGCTCCTCAGGATTTCTTATATTCTACTACTACTCTATCTTAGTAGGTAATATAGGTATAGAATTAGTTAATTAATATTTTCTATCCTACCTAATATTTAGATATTTAATTATATAGATATATTACTATATAAATATATTTAGGCTATAAAAATATAAGTAATTTTACTCCCTATCTTATTATATATACCTTCTCTTTTATTATACCTCTTAAGTACTCTATACCTCTATTTTAGGCTAGTATATATAGAGTAGAGTAGTTAAGTCTTGCTCCTTTAGATTATATAAAGTCTTCTAACTATCTCTTTATCTTACTATCTAACTTAATTACTCAGGATTTAATATTATATTACCTCTCTAAAAGAATAAATAGGTTAAATAGGGTATTTTTAATTATCTTTATATATTAATCTAAGAAATAATAGTCTTATATAAAATTTAATTACCTATCTATAATTAATAGTAGGGCTTAATAATTATCTATCCTTATTTTAAAGTTATAAAAATTAATTACTAACTATAGACCTAGTCTTTTTATAGTAATATAGTCCTTTTAATTAATTCTTTACTTTATTTTTATTATATTATAAGTATTATATTCTACTATAGTAGGTCCTCTAATCCTTATCCTCTCAGCATTCTTAACTAGGTAATCTAATACCTATAGTCCTGGATATTTAAGATATAAATACTATTATTTTGTATCTCTAATACTAGTAATAATTTAGAATATTACCTAGCCTATTATACTATATAGTTTACTATTATATTCTATTATAAATTAGCTATATTTCTTATTAAGATAGGCTGCTACTGCACCTTTAGAGGTATAGAGTAGGTTAGAATTAAGATTATTTTTAAAATAAATATTTATTTAGTTTAGTAATATAAGTAATACTAGATTATATATTATTTTTTTATAATAAGCTATATTCTTAAGAATTATATAATTATATTTTATATCTTTATTTCTTTAAATTATAATCTATATACTAATATCTCTATATTTTATAATAAGTACTTTTAAGTCTCCTGCCTATATATAATTATCTTATATTAATTCTATATATTACTTAAATTAATATAAATTATTAAATATATAAATTAATAATCTTAAGTTAAGAATAATAGAGTACTATAATAAATATAATATAATTTTAAATTAAGTATTAAATAAAGCTTTAACTTTATCTTTATTCCTATCTTTTATTTAACCTACTCTTTAGTTACTTCTTCTTTCTAGTTATTTTAGATCTTATTTATTTTATTCTTACTTCTTTACTACCTTTTTAGCTAGGGCCTTATTTATCTTAAGTTATATATTAACTAGCTTCCTTATTATGCTCTTTTTCTTAAAGTCTTTGGGTATCTTTTCTAGAAATAAATAAAAATATTATATTTATTTATACTTTTAAAAATATATATTATATAATTAATATAAGTTTTTAAAAGTACTTCTTTTAAAGTCTATTCTTCCTATATTATTATATCTATACTTATATTTTATTCCCTTATCCTATAGTAGGAATATTTCTTTATTACTAGTTATATTTATTATATCTTTAGTAATAAATATTAGTCTAAAAGCCCCTCTACTAGTCTTACTATATTACTATAGGAATATATTAATAGTATTATAGAAGTTATTTACTATAATATAGAATAATAATATTCCTGCTAGTATCTTCTTCTTATAGTCTAATTAATAAGATATAATCTAGAATAGAGCTAGATAATATATTATATTTAGGAAGTCTTTTACCTAGTCTAGTAATAATATTATAACTTTAAGATTTACTTTAATTACCTATTAAATAGTAAATTCCTAATTATTTAACTAACTAACTAGATTACTTTTTAGGGGTTAGATTACTTTTATATAAGTATTATAAGCTATATTTTAAATTTATCTCTAGTTAATTACTATATATTCTTTTAGTTTAAGATATTACTTCTCTAGAATTTCTATTAGCTTATAGTAGAAGTAGTAGACTTTTAAAAAAATAATATATTAAATCTATTCTTTTAGTTTCCTAAATTCTATATTCTAATAATTATACTTATCTATTTCTATTTTATAGAGTACTACTTCAAAGTTAAAGTCTTGTAATAATATTATAGAACTCCTAATACTATTTACTAGTAGAGTCTCTCTACTATCCCTAATTAATCTAGTAAGTTATTATAAATAACTCTTACTATCTTCTATTATCTCCCATAGATAGTTATCTCTTGCCCGTGCTTTAAATAAGGATTACCACATTAGCTAGTCTTCCTGCTTGGTAAGCCTTACTGTATTATCTTTATTATTAATAGTTAGAGACATTACGCTCAGTATTTTACTAATTAGTAAGTTTAGTAGGGGTCATCGGTATTTCAATAATTAGTAGGTTTTAGTAGGGGTTATTAGTATAGATTTACATGCTTTAAGCAAATATAAGACTCTTAATTATTAGATATATAATAATCCTAGAGGTAGTTCAATGGAAGTAGGTAATTAGATATATTGTTGTGTGTGTCTGTTGGGGGGTTATGTGCTTGCCTAAGGCCTTAATATAGGGTAATAACCCCCCTTTGCTTACTAAGTACATCACGAGATACCCCTTCAATTCAACAGTGACTTTAGATCACATGATACACTCAATTTAATTGGCTTGCTAGATCCGGTTCCCACCAGACACCTCAGGCTTCAAGGCTACCTAGGTATACATCCAAGTACATCGTGATGACAGGAATTATTCCGGAATACGACATCGGGATTTGATTTAGGACATAAGAGTGTCGAAATGATAACGCAATGTCTCAGTCCATAGATAGAGTTATCCGGAGGAGACTTCAATTCTTAATCTTCTGTCCAAGTAAAGTCTCCTAGTGTATGGGATAGTTGAGGCACTATGGGCTGTCCGAAAATCCTCACCGGAGATGTCATTGCCTCTTTCGCTTCGGGTGTCCAGGAGGAATCCTCAGAGTTCAGACTGGAGGGGCCAACTGTAAGTTTTTTGCTTATAGACTGCTGGATTTTTTGTTGTTCTGAGAGCCAGTCATGCGGCGGATATATTGTTCGGGGGGAAGTATCAGTTGTTATATTGCTAAACCGGTCAAAATCATTGGTTGTCTCGCTAACCCTCCCTAGGAATCCAAAGTAAGCTCTTGGGGGTTCGCACGGGACTAGTGGGGTTGATCGTTCTCCTGCTGGGGAGGACAGAATAAGTCTTCCTTCTCTGTCCGCAACTTCCTGGTCATCTATTGTGAAGCGTCTTCTGACGGGCGACTTGGCTTGAGGTACTATTGAGCTGCTCCCATTGGACCACAGAGATTGAGGACCGGAATCTCTAGGGTACCATTTCACCGGCCTTAGAATGCTCGTGGGGGTGCTCGCTCGAGTATTGGAAACGATATCGGAGCTCTCGCGGCCAGAGGAGAGGAAACATGGTTTAGAATCATTTGAGAGGATTGATAGTTTGCTGATAGATCTCGCCCCTGTCCTGCTATTCCATGAGTCACGAAGCTCTGGTATTTCATTCGAACATGCAGACTCCTCGTGGTCTAAAAGCATCGACTGGGATGATATATTCTTCAGATGGCTTTCCTCATCTTTGTCTTTCGCTCTCACCCCCAGAGGCTGCTTATTTATTCGTATTTCCAAATCATCCAGAGTCCCCCATTCGGATGACAGTTCTTTCTGAACCTTGAAATGTGGCTTCGTAGGTACACGAAGTCTTTGGCGGTCACCAGTTGTCAGTTTCCGTCGTTTACCGAACCGCTCAATTTCTTCCGTTGGCGTAAAGGACATTCTCAACGGGCGGGCAGCCGCTACAGCTCCCCAATCTGCCGTTTCGAGCAATTGACGCCTGAGATAGTCTAAATTATTGGATGTTTGTGAGGGTCTATCTGTACCAATAGGGAGAGCTGAATTTGGGGAGGGTTGGGATCGAGGTGAAGACTTGCAACGATATCAGCTTTTAGCATTGAGTATACTTCTCAACAGGCAGGTTCCTCACTTGTTGGTCTATATCATCATGGTTACTTCGCTGGATTAACTTCCGTTTCTTCTGATCATGCCCTCCCGCCTTGCTCAAATTATTAAACAAAGTGATATGATGGGGAGCTTTCAAGCCTGAGCTAGACTTCCCAAAAACTTGCTTGCGGGTTTTGGTATTAGTCTCCGAATGCCGTCGAAGGCGACCACCTGTCCAGTTCATGATGAGGGGTATGCACGGAGTAAAGACGATAATATACTTTATCTGGAAAATCTGATGACAAAATTCAGAAGGAATGCGATGCCGCCTTCTTTGGGAAGTCACCCTCATCATGTGAGGTGAGCGGGGTCTTGAACGACAGCCTACATCTTCTGTAACTTCCTAGATGGCTATTCTAGAGGAGCAGAGGAATAACTGATGTTTACACTCGGGATTTTATGCCTGATAACATGGAATTATACATTAGATGCATCATCATAGTACCTGGCTTATTGTAGTTCCAAACATACATGCACACTTTCAAGATTGGCGGATAAGATAGTATGTACGTGCTGTGCTGTATCTAGTAACTATGTAATGGAGGGATCGTTCAATATATTCAAGACCCTGCAAAGCCAAAGCATCTTTTTTATATTATCTCAATATCCTGACCTCCCAAGTAGATGACTTTTGGTACTCTCTTGAAAACTGAACTATAAAACAATAACTTGGAACCTATGGTTATATTAGAGCCGCCAGACAGTCACATGCGTAACAACGTGACCCAGATTACTTCTTATCCCAGATCCCCCGAACTACAAACAAACACTTGAGAGACTTGACTTCTACTAAATAACCAAAGCTATAAAACTCCATCCACCACAGTTCAACCCTCATCTACCTACCTACATTCATAACTCTATCAACGACTACAAGAAAATCCGATGCGTCCCCTCACCCACCTCCCCCTTCTCACGCTCCCTCTCCTCTCCAGCGCCCTACCCAAAACCCAGACGTCCGAACTCACCCCTCTCCCCCTCGTAATATGGCACGGCCTAGGCGATGACTACCTCCGTGACGGGATGAAAGAGATCGCCGCGTACGCGGAAAAGGCCAACCCAGGCACCTACGTACACCTCATCCACCTAGGCGACAGCAGCAACAGCGACCGCCAAGCCACCTTCCTCGGCAACGTGACGGAACAAATCTCCAGCGTGTGCGAGCAGCTCGCGTCAGAGCCGATCCTGTCATCTGCGCCAGCAGTCAACGCGCTGGGGTTCTCACAGGGCGGCCAGTTCCTCCGCGCCTACGTCGAGCGATGCAATAACCCGCCGATCCGGAACCTCGTGACCTTCGGCAGCCAGCATAACGGCATCGCTGAATTCCAGGAGTGTTCCTGGGGTGACTGGGTGTGTCGGGGTGCGGAGGCGCTGCTGCGTGCCGGGCGCTGGTCGAGTTTCGTGCAGTCGCGGTTCGTGCCGGCGCAGTATTTCAGGGACCCCGAGGACCTGGAGCTGTATTTGGAGAATAGCAATTTCTTGGCGGATGTCAATAACGAGCGTGAGGTGAAGAATGAGACGTACCGGGAGAATATGCTGCGGTTGAATCGGTTTGCGATGTTTCTGTTTGAGGATGATACAGTCGTGCATCCGAAAGAGAGCGCGTGGTTTGCGGAGGTGAATGTAACGACTGGGGACGTAACGTCGCTTCAGGAGCGGGCGATTTATACCGAGGATTGGCTGGGCTTGAAGGAATTGGATGAACAGGGGAAGTTGGAGTTCAAAACTATTCCGGGCCAGCATATGCAGTTTTCGGATGATGTCTTGGATGATGTCTTCCGAGAGTACTTTGGGCCTGTGGAGGTCGATCTTCCACCGAGTTATGTGCTTGTGAACCAGGCCGGTTACAATTAATCAGGGAGCTGTAGTTACTGAGTACCTATTCAATTCTTCTGCGGCTTGTATACCCAATACTGGGATATAGATTATCCCTAGGGCGCCTAATTAACTAACTGTATGTTTGCTAGGCTTTTCAAATGATATTCAGTACATAGATAAATACATGTCACCCCGCCTTGATAATGCCCTTCATTCCCTTCGCCATCCCACTCTGATAGAACGGTGAATCCAGTTGTATAAGTTAATCAAGATATTGGGGGTGTACAGCATAGAACCGAAGGATAGAAATGACAACAGCTAAAGAACAGATTGGGTACAAATCTATGAAATCGCTGGATACTAAGCCATGTGACCAGGTCGACAGTGAAAGAACCAAAGCACAAATGAAATTCTAAGGGTGCATAGAGCACAGTGAATGGAATCCCGTAGCTTTCCAACAAACTAGGGGGGGGGGGGGGGGGGGGGAAGAAATAAAACTCAAGAAATATGTGCATAGGCTTCGACAAAAAGGGTAAAACATGATTGCTTGATAAAAGGGCCGATAACCTCAAGAAAAATGATGAATAAGATGAAGGAGAATGAAATAAACAGGCGAGGAAAGAAATCGTACAAGTCTGCCTAGTAAGGTGGACGGCCGATTCCCCCTGTTGCCCGGCGTCGGTAGGAGGGACTTCGGCCAGGAGGAGGTCCAGACTCGGCGTTTGCAGGTGACAGGAATCCATCAAGAAGCTTCTGTAAATCGCGTCGTTGTGCCGTGTCTTCCACTTCATGCATGCCATAGGCTTGGCCTCCAGGTCCACCATTAAGGGCCAGCCCTGGTATTTCTGCAGCGGCCGCAAGTCCGGCACTAGACCGACTCTTGTTTCTGTGCAGTGTCTTAGAATGAGCTGCAGCGGCCGCTGTTCCTAGTTTGCCATTAACGACGTGCTGTTTTCGCGAAGAGGGAGCAGTCGATGGCCGATCGACGGATGTCAGTGAGCGCTGAGAGTTGTTTGGAAACCCACCCGGAAGAGACAATTCGTGCGGGATTGGGGGTACAGGCGGTATACCATAGGAGGATGATCGGGACATTTGCGGCCCATGACGCCCATTTGTCATAAAAGCCTTAGGGGTTTCTGCCCCATCACCATACAGCGTTTCCTGTCCATCTCTCGTAGATGGGCGCCGGATTGACCCTCCGTCCATCTCAAACTCGGACGTTGAAAACCCGCTGACCATGCTCTCACTACTTGATGAGATGACACTACCATTTGAGGCGCCGATTCGGCCACGTAGAGGGCTTAGTCGTCGATCCTTATCTTGGATGTTCACAGAAAGTACACGCCTTAGTTCATTGACATGTACTGGTGACTCCCTGCTTGAGCTATGAACTGGTGTTTCTGGAGCTTCAGGGACGCTCATGCGGCGAGAATATTGCAGACCCGCTGCACCATAGGGTGTCGACGTGGGAGAAGTAGCCGTTGAAAGTGAGCTACCCCCGTTACCGTTGGTGTAGATGTGGTTGCGAAGGGGTACGGTTCCAGTCTTCGATCCGCTGAGGGACAAAGCTTCTGCCTTTTCCCTCTCGGCGGCTTCCAAGCATAGGGCTTTGGACCATGTAGACAACATCTGTTCTCTCACTGAAGCTGGGAGGAGATCGCATTGGTGGGGGTTTGCGGATGGTAGATTTCCAAGAACTGGCTTATCCAAATTTCGCGCCGGAGAGCCTGGTGGACTATACGCGGACATTGTATGGTTATATGATTCCTCAATTCGACGGACGAGCTCCTCAACGCCGCTCTTGAAAGGAATCAGCATCTTGGTATCTTTGGGGCTTTTGGTGATGGTTTGACGCTCCGTATCTTGGATAATGCTATCAAAACTGGCGAGAGAAAGGCCGATGCTATTTAGCCAGATACCACGACTTTTTCTTTGCTCGATTTCGGAGTGGATCTCTTTTCCAACTCTGTAGGTGTCCAAGTCAAAGTTCTCGGACAATGCCCATAGATATCCATACACCAAGCTCCCGATATTCACTTTTGCTGCGGGCGAAGTTAAGCTTTCCAGGGTAGCCAGGTCATCCTGAAGCCTCAAGGTCATCGGGAGCCCGAATCGCGCAGCATTCACACCAAGATTTTCAACCAGGCTGGCTAAAAGAAGATGAAGTATGCGGATTACTGTTTCCTCGGTTGGATATTGAAGCGCGACCTCGTAGACCGTCAAGTGGAGCAAACGGAGAAAATTCGACTGTGCCGCTATAATGGCTTTCTCCCTCTGGCGCGCTCCTGATCGTTTCCCAGTTTTCTCGGCAGTCTCTGGAGAGTCGCGTTTTGGTGACGTGTTTGCAGTTTTGTTAGAACTGTCTTTAACACGCAGATCAGTTCTATTTGTTTCCACCTTCAGCCAGTAAAGAAGTGCATCGACGTATGCGTATCGAACTTCTTTTTCTGGGTCTTGGAGGAGCCACTGCGTTCCTTCCCACACGTGAATACCAACGGGGTTTCTTGATTCAACACCGGCTGCCGCTATCGGCCGTTGGGAATTAGCCACAAGTAGGATATTTTTGATGGCTTTGAGAGCACAAATCTTGGCGCTAGCCAAGGAGAATGGCGCCAGATTTACCTCCCCAGTCAATGCTGTGGTATCCGCTTGATCGGGGCCTGATGCTTCCTGGTTATGCACAGGCCTAATCCGAGTTAGGATCGTTCTAATCATGTCAACAACCTGATCTCCATAATAAATGTGTGTTGTAAGATCTCCGATACATTTCTGGAGCAGTAACAGCAGTTGCTTTCTTTTGCGAGAAAGTGCCACATTCTCGCCGTAAGGGGCCTTTTCCTTTTCAGTAGACTGCTCATCCATGGTTCTCTCCATCGTTGGGGATATCAAGAACGACATGTATTGCATCAAACCTAGCAGGATGTCGATCACGCTAAGTCCGATCATGTTGACAGGAGACTTCAACAGCCAATCTATCACCTGGATGATTGTGAAGGCCTTGTCAAGGGCCTCCTCATTCGAGGGAATCTCGAAAAGAACCTCCATGGCGGCAGCCGAGATAATAAAACGGGCCTGAACGGGACACCATTTGGCTACGATTTCGATCAACGAAGTGGCCCAATTTCCATCGGAATCCAGTTCAAGAGGATGGGGATTTGATCGTTCCTTTCGAAGGATGAAGTCCAACACAATTTTGGTGGTGATGCGGATTTGCCCGCGGCTGCTGCCATTTACGATGATCTGTTCCAGGCAGCGAAAAGCAAGAAGCCTCATGTCCAAGTCAGCTTTCTTGTCCACATCGGCAACGGTCTGAGTTGCCAATGCCGGATCCCCTTCCGCCGTATCGATCGTCTGCACAGTGACAGAGCTGTATCTCCGCCGTGCCGCAGGGTCAGGTTCATGCCTTTCAGCTTCCTGAAGGTTGAATTCAAGCGACGCAAGCAGGTCGTCATCCCCATTGTACAGGTTTTCCAGAACAACGGGCAGAATGATTCTCAAAGAGTCTCCTCCATCTGTTGCCAACCCGGCCTCAGAACTAACCACGCCTTTTATGGCCCGCAGGCCCGCATTCTTCCACCGAATAGCCTGGGGAGGGCTCGGAACGACCTTAGACTGGGAAATTTGCTCCTCATCGGCGAAGCCCGCATATATACGGACGACCTCCCGGAACTGATTTGCAAAGTCTTGCTCTGCGGACAGAGCTGCCATATCCTGGTGCCGGCAGAAAGTCTCGAAAGTTGCAATGGAATCCTCGACCATAAAAATATCGCGGGAGCGTAAAACGGTTTCGATCACTGTCAACACCGACCGTGCGAAAATGGGTAGATCACGAGGAACCTTTTCGATGAGCGCGCTGAGGATTTGAAGCGTAACCTGGATATTTCTATGACAAGCATCAAAGATTAGTGGCGTTCCAACTTTCCTTGTGGTTTTCAACGAAATATGACTTCAACCCCTCGACTGCAACCTCCTCAGACTCACCCTATTTTACGACGCCAAACATCTCGAGCGGCCCTTTTTTCCAGGAAGGCGCTAACCTTCGGAAGCTTGCTGCGGCGTGTGCTGACATAGTAGAGGAGATAGGAAAGTTCGCTTGAATTGGGTTTAACATCCTGGACTCCTTTTTGATATTGCGGATAGCACTTGAGGACTAGGAGCTGATGTTTTGGTCGACATTTTTGGCGTACACCCTCCATGGTGCTGACGAATTGGCCACCCGAGAACGCGGGTGGTGAAGATACTTAAGATTACAAAACAGGAAAGAAAGAAAGTGGCCGGATTGTAGACTATCCTTAGGTATCGACCTAAGGACTGCGAAAGAAAGAAATAAACGAAGGCAAGGGAAAAGAAGGAGCGTGTGAGTTTAGGTGAAGGGTTGGAGAACCATGAGGAGCGGATTGAGGTCACGTCACAGCTGGCTGGAGTTGCCGTGGAGAATTCGCAAAGGAAGGAGATCTTGGTTAGGGTAATCAGCCAAGGTATGATAGAGCCATTGGATCAAGAGTTCTCAGGAGTGCAAGAGGGTGAGTTTGCACGAGGAGTTGATGGGAACTGGATGGCGACCAGAAAGGGGGGGATGTCAATTCGGGGGAGATGTTGGAGGCTCGAGGGATAACTCAATACAGGTACCTAAATTAAGCGGTTCTGTCAGCCGCGGGGAGTCGAGTGTGCGTGAACGTCGGCAGAATCTACGAGTCCGCCGTATCAGAATTGGTGATTATCTTTCGAGGAAATTAAGAGGAGAAAGAATCAATTAAATATAATCTTGGGGTTAAATTAGTGGGTAGACTATTAATTATTATTTCTAGAGTACAGAAAAATATTATCATGGGCTCTTATAGTTCACAGTGGGCCGCCTAGTGCTGGTTCCTTCCCCTTGCGATCCGATATCAAAGTAGTTTCTCACGAAAAAAGGCCATAAATAATCGCGCGGTCAACTGACACGGAACATTGAAAGAGGAACTTGATGCGAGAAACCTGGAAGAAATCGAGAATTTTCCAGAAAAGCCCCAATCACCAGAGGATATGCCAACGTTGGTTGTCGCGGAATGAACCTGGCCCGGATACATCCTCTCAGCGAGTCAACAAGACCATAGCGCATTTCGCGTGTTGCTCTCCAAGGTAGCCGATACCGTGGACCATCACAGGGGCCTACCTCGGTCACATATGATGCGCCCTGAGAGACCAAGGCCCAAAACCAGCGGTGTTAGTGCTCTCGACATTGACCTCACGATGATCAAGGCGTGCCAGCAAAGAATTACGAATAAATGCCCTAACGCGGGCATTGTATCCTCCTACAACCCTTTTGAAGGCGTGAAAAAAATCCTTCACTCCGTTGAAATTGTCTCATCCCAACTCCCAACCCAGAGTCACACCCAACAAAGGCCTTGGAACGGCATTGGTAGAATTGGTTTCCATTATAGACCGCAGATATCAAGTTTCGGGGTTATTATTTTCGGCATCGACCTGATTGCCCTGTTCCCCTTCTTGTTCCCCACCTTGGTCGTTGTTGAGGCCGATCCCCGCCAAACCTTCAATCACTTGAGGGCGGATGATGTCACGACGAAAAGTATCTTCTTGGAGAAGCTGTAGCGCACGTAAGGTTGCACCGGGATGGGTCAGAAACTGGGAATACTCAGGCGTCTTCCAGTAGGAGTAGAGGTAGGCAAGGTAGGCTGCAAAGGCTTTGGCGTCTGGATCTGAAGTGTCATCGTTCGCGTCACTCTCGTCATGCGAACTGGAGATTCCCAGAAGGGTTGGATAATTGACCGCGAGGTGTGATAAGTAGTAGGGGTTTGCTAGAGAGGAGACGAATTCAAGCTCGAGGGTGAATCGGGGATTTGTCAGAGTCGCGGGGGGTGGTTGTGAGTGATCTGGCTGTGGTTCGGCCATTGGCAATCTGCAGAGAGAGGCAAGATAGATGTACTTGCTTAAAGAAACGCAGATCAGTTGATAAGTCAATGAGGAATCGCTCAATTCTCCAAGAGGGGTGGAAGAGGAGACGTGTGAAATCTTGCGGAGTAGGGAAGAGAGAGACCGCTCTTGGTAAAGATGGTTCGCGCGGCCCCACCAAAACTCCATTCTCTATAGGGAGCCCGCCAATTGCCTAGGAACCCTGGGTAAGTATTGTGGAGGTGAACTAATCAACCCTTTCTTTAATAAATATATAAATATATGTATATACTTCATTTTATAGCCTGTTTTACTGTGATTTTTAAGTTCTAGGTCAAAAGCACACCGACAGAAGGTGAACACTAGGTATTTTTGTTGGGTTAAAAGGCAGGTTTACGTCTATAATATAATAGAATAGTATCTGCTACCTACTGCTACCTATGGAGCATTTATATAGGGGCAATTTCCCAGCTTTCTAAGTGAGTGGACACCCTCAAGGCTCAATAATCCAGAGACCGCTCATATGTTTCGGATTCTGGTAGAAATATTGACTTTCATGGGGACCTTGAGAAGAAAGATGCCTGCAGGAATCAAGATAAGCTTGGATGACAAGCTTTCTTTACAGTTAGCATTCTTTGACCTGTATGAAGCAAGTGGAACGTGAAGCCTGGGTACCTTGGATATACAAGATTTGACCCCAATAGGCTACATCAAGCTGACTCCGCAGTCAGAAATTCACTACCTAGGTAGCTAATTGTGCTGTATTGCTTGAGAATAACGAGCAGGGGCTCTGTGGGGAAGTGTATGATCATGCATAAAAGCTCTAGAATGATAATTGACAGGAATCGAAAATTAGCTCAAGGGCATACATTGTTATCGTGCCAATAAATATTTCTAGGAAATTAAGTACACACATGGCATATAAAACACATATAAAACAAACTTTCAACTCCAACTCAGTTGAGAGTATTGGTTATGTTGACATTAGTTCATTAGGTACCATAGCAGGTATCACTGTACGAGTCATGCTATAAGGTGATATAGTTCATTCACTGCAAGTCCCATCCTACTATGGAGTAGATTAATTATTGCCCCAGGGTGGGCGATGGACAAATCCTGTTCGGAGATTGGATAGAAGAAAAAGCAAGTATCTCATGATTGTGACAGAAATGCACACATGCCAGGGACTTCCAAAGGTACAATTCGGATCTTATGCAGGGTAAAACCGAGCAATTCTCACCTGAATCAGTGTTCGTATTCCAATCTTCCATGCATTAACCACTCCACTCGGAAGGAAGATGGTGAAAGGCAGTGGTTTTCCATTGTCACCTCCCGAGCCCGGCACGTGTAGAGCAGGATACTTGGCATGCTGGGCATCGCCAAGCCCACTGGAACCTTGGCACTGGGCATGACCCAATCCAAGCTTCATGGAATTCACCAGGTCTCTGCACGTGGAGAAGACTGGATATTCTCATTTGCTTCGAGGAATCATCTCTCGTGGTGTGTAGTATTTGCCAAGTCCGCTGGACAAAGAGCCCAGAGCATGGAGCATGGATGTGAGTGCTGCTTCGAGTGCCTGAGTGAGTGAGATATCGCCTGGTCAGATATGGGGAGCTCTCCGGTAGCTGCAATGGCTTTCTCGCTTATTGAGGGGAATAACAAATAAATAACGGAGTCTCACCCTCTCCTTCCCTTGTATTGTTGTCTTGTCGTGTATCCCATTGCCCGGTCTCACTGTCTTAGTGCAGCTCACTGATCAAGATGAGACCACTCTCGCTCGTCGGAGTGGCATTGTTTGCCTCTGGCACTGTTGCCCAATACTTCCAGCGTCTGGGCGGTTGTCCCACCCTGGGTTGTGTGTTCCCTCCCGACCAGTAAGTTCCCCTTACGCATGCAAGGGAAGCGATGAACATTGATTGACTTGCAATTGTGTCCCTTCAGGGCAGATTTCCTCCCTGGGCAATACTTCGATATCCGTCTTGAAGTCCACTCTCCTGTCAATGGATCTGAGGCACGTGCTGGTGTCCCCGATCCCAACTTCAAGTTCACTATCGCCAAAAAGGGCGGCAAGGCCGTGTCTGCCACCAAGTTCTTTGGCGTTGAAGAACCTAAACTCGAAGGCTGGAATTTTACATGGTACGAAGGTAGGATCGGGTCTTCCTTCTTATTTGGGTTGTATGGCAAAGGCTGAATGAATACAGACCTGTTCGCTGAGGATGCTGGAACCCCGTCCCTTGTCAACGTCACCTCCAAGGCCTACAGACGTGTCGCTCTTTACGAACCTGGCGAGTATGAAGCAACCTTGACCTACTATGGCCAGCAGAAGACTGTTGCCAACTGGCTTGTGCGTGATGTTCCCACCAAGCGACGTGCGAAGAACGTTATCCTCTTTGTTGGAGATGGAATGACCACCAACATGATCACTGCTGCGCGTCTGATTGCTCACCGCAGCATCAACGGAAAGTACATGACCAAGATGCAACTGGACAAGTTCCCCGTTCTCGGACACCAGATGACGCACTCGATGGATTCATTCATCACCGACTCTGCAAACTCGGCCAGCGCTCTGTATGGTGGCCACAAGACCACAGTCAATGCCCTGGGAGTGTATGTGGACTCCTCTAAAGATCCTTTCGATGATCCCAAGTTTGAGCTTCTGCCTGAAATCTTCCGTCGTCACCATCCTAATGCTGGAGTTGGTATCGTGTCAACCGCTTTCCTTGCCGATGCCACCCCCGGTGCTCTGACTGCCCACACTCGTAGTCGTGGTGAATATGACCATGTCATCAGCACCTTCCTCGAGGGCTTGACTGACTACGAGTGGACTAAATGGGAGGGTCCTGATGTCCTCTTCGGTGCCGGTGCCGAGAACTTTATCACGAGCGAGGATGCTCCACGGGATTATTATAAGCTCTTCGCTGACAAGGGCTACACGGTGAGCTTGAATAAGACCGCTCTGGAGGCCGCTTCCAGCAAGGAGAAGGCTCTTGGTGTCTTCACTCTTTCCAACCTGCCCACCTGGCTAGACCGCAATGTGTACCAGGCCAACCTGCAGAATCTGAGCAACTACCCCGATGGCTCTGGTCGGGATGCAGAGGATCTCCCCGGTCTGAAGGACATGACTCTCAAGGCCATTGATGTCCTCGACGCCCGCCACCGCAAGGAGGGCTGGTTCCTCATGTCCGAGGCCGCCAGTATCGACAAGCAGATGCACACCCTGGACTATGACCGTTCCCTTGGCGAGCTGCTGGAGCTAGACGACACTGTCCGCGCCACCATCGAGAAGCTTGCTCACCTCGGACAGCTCGAAGACACTCTGATCATCGTCACGGCAGACCACGGCCACGGATTCGACGTCACCGGCGCCGTCGATACGGAGTACTTCAACCAGCAGACGGATGACCGCGAGAAGCGCCGCGCAATCGGCATTTACGAGAACTCTGGACTGTCGCAGTACACCGTGGGCGGCCCCAACACCCTGCGCTACTCGGAAGGCGTCCACTTCCCGGCGCGCTGGGATCCGCGATACTCTCTACACGCCGGCACCGTGGCCTTCCCCGACCACCGGGAGAACTACCAGGTCCACAGCGAGGGACCCCGAACTCCGGCGGTTTCCCTCGACGGTAGCAAGCGCTACTACGCCAACTACAAGGATGCGGTGACTGGGTTCATGATTAACGGCACGCTGGCGCCCAATGCGGCGCAGGGCGTGCACTCGTTGACTGATGTCCCAGTGTTCGCGCGGGGACCTTGCCAGGAGCTCTTTGGCGGCGTGTACAACTCGGTTGACATCTTTTTCAACATGGCTGAATGCCTGGGATTGGCAGAGACGAAGCGGGGCGGTCATGGTAATTCCGGTAAACCCGGGAAACCGGGTCACTAGATCTTTTCCGATGGAGTACGGAGTAGTTAGTACGTAGTAGATGCATCTGCTCTTCCAGTTCCTACTCTTCCGATAAGTTTCTCTGAAGAGGAGGATCCGGAAGGGTATAATAATTACGACCAATTGATTTTCGATAACACATATATTACTCTGAATAAGAAGTCAAATTACTTTTTTTTTTTTTTTTTTAGCCCGTAGTACTCGGTACAGTACGTACTTGAGCTACATACGTATATACGGCGTATATGATAACATACAAAAGTCAGGCTACCGATTGTATTTCCAATGACGTATGTAATTGAGCATAACTAAAGGTAAAAAAAACCAAACAAGAAACTTGACAACTGAAAGAAAAGCACAAGAATCTCTCTCTATAATCAATGTTGATATGCCAAGGCTACTAGTATTTTACCAAGAGCAAACATTCCCCAGCAACGAGGTGCATAACTACCTAGGACCTACATATGTATCTCCATATCTGTAAGGTGGAATGAATCGTGAGGTACCAAAGATGGAAAATCCACGGGACAATCTAAATGCCAATGGATGGCTGGTGAATGAAGCAAAGCCAATGGAATCCATTCATTTTGATGTGAAAGAACAAGGGATAATTTACGGAATCTATCCTCAATATGGAGTACTGGTAAAAATACAGTGGCTGGAGAATCAGAAGAATCTTCGATGAGGAGTGAACCAAGTTCATAGTTAGGTAGTACGTGTTGTTACAATTTCATGGATGCCTGCAGATGATTTCGTTAGAATAGATCCGTGTGTACGGAGTATACGTACTTGTAGTGAGAATAGCGCGAAGTTATTATCCCCTGGGTTCAAATGGATTTGTCGATCTTGACAAGATCATCAAGTTACCTAGGTAGTTACTGTAAGATCTTAATCCTCTTTCATGAACCTCGACTTCTCTCTTCTCTCTGTTTGTTTCCCTCTCCCATTGGATTGATTTCCTTCTCCACTCCGTCCGACCTCCCAAGTCTGGTAATTTCTCTCTCCTTGACGGGCCACGACGATCGCTATTCCTCTTCCTTCTCTTTCTCTCTTCTTTTAATTTGATTCACACTGGTCGTCTGAATTCAGTTTGTCCCGTGTTGTGTTCCTCTCCTCTCCCCCCTTTCGAGCGCCTCCAACGTCTCCTTCCCCCCCTCTACACCCACCTTCTTCCTCTTCCTCTTCTCTTCCCTCTCTCTTCCCTCTCTCTTCCCTCTCTCTTTCTTTTGCGCTCCATCAACCATTAGTATCAAAGGGAGAACCTGAAAGAAGAAGAGAGAGATCAAAAAAAGGCCGTAATCTATCCTATCAGGCAATCCAAATCCCCCCCCCCCCAAAAAAAAAAAAAAAGACCCCGCCACGTTCTCCCCCGGTTTGATTCTCTTGCTTAATTTCCTTCCCTCCCCCCCCTCCAATTATCGACCGTGTGTCTCCTCTCCTCCTCATCCACATCCGCGGCATCGCTGTTTCACTGTCACTCTGGCTCACGGGCTAGTTTTGCCGCTTGCTGTCGATTCTTCCTGACAATCGGTGGCTCCTTTGTCCTTTTTCTGATTATCACCCCTTTGTGGTCTTTCTTTTTATGATCTCCCCTTTGTCTCCCCAATCATCTTCTTCGAGTCGTCCTTAGTCGTATGCCATCATCAACATGAATGCCTCTCAGCAACCAACAGCTTTCTCCTATCCTTTCCCGCCCGGCGTCTCGCTGGGTCCGCCAGGTGCGTCATCCGTTTGATATCTCCTTGTTCCCCTGCTCTGCTCAACCTGATTCACCCTCGTCGCTTGCTGTCTGTTTCATCTCGGGCGGGTCCTCCCTGAACCCAAGATTGCGATCGGTTCACCGATGGTGTATTTGACTCAATTCATCGCCCGACTCGATCGCTTTCCTACAAGAAAACTAATCTCATGGTCTTTTTTTTTTTTTTTTTCGCCCGCTTTCTAGTCTCCCCTGTCAGTCAAACCAATCCGCACTTGTCGGTTAACCTGGGCTCCAACAATCCCTTTCGCAGCCGTGCCCTGTCCCCGTCCAGTTCCATTACCTCAGGCGGCAGACCAGAACGTCCGAAGTCTACGAATCCCTTTCTCGATGATACCGATCCAATGTCGCCACAGTCTGCACCAGTAGGATCAGTGGGGTCGCCTCAGGATATGACCCAGAACACGCGCGATCTTTTTGTACGTTCCCTACCCCTTTTTGTTTTTCGCTGCTGCTGCTGCTGCTGCTGCTGCCCCTTCTTTTTTGGGACCAGTCTGACCGATCGCCATGCTTTGGATTTCACAGGAAAGTCTGTCTTTGAACCCAGATCCCAAGAGCAACGCCTCTCGACCAGCGCCGCCACGCCCGGAGAAGCCTTCCAACAGCCGCCCGCCTCGACCGACCCGGGACACTTCCGAGGCACGATCCAAGGATCCTTTGGATATCTTTGCGGATCCACCAAGCATGTCGAAACCTAGCGGATCGCGGCCCCGAGATCGAGAAAGACGTCCACGTCGCAACTCAGAATCGTCAGTGATGGAGCGGACCCCAAAGCTCCTTGATGAGGACGATGAGAAAAAAAGACGCGAGAGACGGCGACGCGAGCGCGAGGCTCGTCAGCGCGATGGCAAGTCCCGCTCTAGGCGACCTACCTATGAGCTTGATATCATCGATAAACTGGATGTGACCAGCATTTACGGCACAGGAAGTAAGTATCTTGAAATATAGACTGGGAAGAAGGTTGCTCCTAACATTTTGGCTTCCTAGTGTTCCACCACGACGGTCCTTTCGACGCCTGCAATCCCAACCGTAATCGCAAAGGCTTGCGCACTGCCCCCATGCAAGCATTCCCTAAAGATTCATCCAATATGGCTTTGGGAGGCTCAGGACCAAACAATCAGAACATCGATCTGAATTTGTTCCACGGAACCGCGCAGGAAGGATACAATGACTTTGCTTTGTCAGGTTCGGCTGCAGATAGTCGCAAAACAGAAGGGGCTAACTTTGATCCGGGCTCTCGCATCGACCCGGTCCACGGCGCTGAAAGTCTGGGGCTAGGTACCAGTACTTTCTTGGAAGGCACCCCTGCTAGTCGTCTGGCTATCAAGGAGCTAGAAACAGAACAGCAGAATGCCTTCAACAACAACGCGAATCTTCAGCGCAAGAAGAGTTTGGCTCAAAGAATCCGGGGAATCAACCGCCCGCCAGGTGCCGGTCGAGTGGTTTCTCCACAAGCCGCCTACCGTGCTCCAGTCTCTCCTCCCACTTCGACTTCTCCGCGTAATGAAAAGAACCCATTTTTCCAGGACTATGATGATGCCTGGGATAAGAAAGGGACTCGAATCAGCTCCGTCGAGGAATCCAGAGTTGTTGATGGTGGGCGCGTTCGTTCATCGAGTAGCCCTAAGCAGACGACGGGTCTGGAGCGAAGGTTCACAAACGAGCGGGGCAATACCGCCTTCGACGATGGCAAAGCGAATGGAGGTGGCTTTATCAACCGGATGAAGAGTTTACGGAAGCCCCGCCCGGAGAGGCGGATCAGTAACGACTGAGTTGCCGACTGTTACCTTTTTTTTTTTTTTTTTTTTTTTTTTTTTCTCTTTTGCTTGATTGTATCGATATAATTGATGGAAGGGGAAGGTGATGAATTGGTAGGAGGAGCCCAATGGAAGCACTGAGGAAAACCCCCTCGAGACCCTGATCTCCCCACCAAAAAGCTTGCAGTGTATGGTAGTATCAGGATACTCTTGTGCTGGGGTGAATTGCTCTATATCAGAACCATTTTGTGAGGGTCTGCGGATGTCTGATCGTCAATACCTTGAAGGAACCATCTATCTGTCATTAGTAGTGGTCTTAAACGCACCACCATGGACTCTGGAACGGGGATGAGGTGGTTGGTCACTGGTGGTGGACAGCAACTTTTTTCATCCCCCCCTTCCCCCCTTTTTTTCTCTCTCTCGATATTGTACACAGCGCACTGGATGCCAAGGGATTTGGCGTTAGCTGAGGTTAAGTTACTACAGCCCTTTATTTTATTTGACCTCTGAGGATAATATCCATTCAATGCATCGTTATTTAGTTGCTTTGCTTTCATACCACCCAGTAGGCTAAGGTCTTGGTAGCAATCAATCTATAACTGCCTATATATATATATATATATACTATATTATATACTGAGGTCATTTCTATCAACCGCATAGTTAGTACGGAGTAGAACAGGTCAAATCTTGTACCTCTACTCTAAACTTGAACTCCCTATAACCCTCTCACTACATTCATATTCCCATCTAAGCTGAAACACATACAGCAACAGAACAATCCGCCCACTAACTAACTAAGATCCAACCAAGCATTTAGCTAGTTAGCCACTCACTCACTCACTCACTCACTCAGTCATTCATAACTAGGAGAATCAACCACAACAAGAAACAGAAAGAAAAGGGAAGCAATGCTATGTTTCTAATCCTATCCTAGACAATCATGACACGAAAGAAAAAGAGATCGAGGCAATGCCACCTCTGCCCCTGTACAACGGTACTAATCGCCAACCCAACCCAACCCAACCCAACCCCCAAGGTAAAATAATAAAGAGTTAAACACAGAGAGAACTAGTAGAAGCAGCAGCAGGCAAATCCGTCCATCCCATCCCATCGCGTGCCGGCAGTAAGTCACGAGTTGAATTATTTATCAATCAACCGGCAAAAAAAAAAAAAAAAAAAAATAAGCGAAAAGAAGCATCAAGAACGTTCAGAGGTATGCAAGGTAAGGTAGTGTAGTGGTAGCTATTTTTAGAGAAGCTAAAAAAAAAAAAACATGTTCCCTTCGTCTTCATCTTGATCGTCACTGATGAGGAGGGTAAAAAAAAAAAAAAAAAAAAAAAAATAATGAATAAATAAATAAATAAAAAGAGAAAGGAGGAGAGAAAGAGAACTACTACTACGCCCGCTGGGAGAACCGACGTAGATCGAATGGGTTCGGGGCCGGGATGCCGGCTTTGCGCTTGGATAGGGGCTTGGGTCTGGAGAGGGTGTATCTGAGAGCGGGTTAGTATACAGAGGGATAGATTGAGATGGATGGGACGGAACGTACTTGGCAAAAGCCCTCGAGAGAGCTTTCTTGCAGCTGATCTTTTGACTGCCGATGAAGGAGTCCACGGTCACTGCAATGGCGCGGTCGATGTCCTGTGCAGAGCAATACTCCGAGAGACGCATTTTGCAGAAAGCCTCGGCGATACGCATGATAGCTTCGAGGTGACGGACCTATGCAGTGTGTGTGTTAAGCCTGTGTATTTGGGTGTAGGATTTAGAAAAGAGGTACGCACAGTAATAGGGTACGCTCCTGTCGCAAGAGACTCCCGTCTCATGTCCGCGAACAGCCGCGCAACCTTATCTTGGTCGATTTGGTAGAGTTTCGGGTGGCAGTGCTCGCGAGCGTAGAGAATGTATTTGCGGAGAAGCCCCTGGGGAATTTCGCCTTCCTTTTCATCTTCCTCTTTGGTGTTGGCGGCTTCACGGGCCTCCACTTCCTCTGGACGCAGAGCGAGGCGGTTGCCCTCCTCGTCGACACGATAGCCCTCTTCATCAACGCGTTCACCATCTGTGTTGATCAGCTTTCCGGTCTCGTCTTTCAGAGGCTTGGTGGGGTTTGCGCGGTGGTGAGATTCCACCACAAAGCTGGCCAGTCGCTCGTCCTCGCTTGGGTCGACTAGATCGCGCACAACGCAGAGGATGTCAAAACGAGACAGGATGGGTTCCGTGAGCTGAACATTTTGGGAGAACGGAGCACTGCTGTTGTACCGGCCACCGATAGGGTTGGCGGCAGCAACTACGGCACAGCGGGCTTGCAGGGTCGTTACGATACCTGCTTTGGAAATGGAAATGGTCTGCTGCTCCATAGCTTCGTGGATGGAGGTTCGATCTTGGTCGTTCATCTTGTCAAACTCGTCGATAAGACAGGTGCCGCGATCTGCCAGCACCAGGGCTCCTCCCTCCAGCGTCCATTCGCTAGTCAAAGGGTCGCGACGAACACTGGCCGTCAAACCAACAGCACTTGCTCCTTGACCTGTAGCAAAGACTGCACGGTGGGCTGTCTTCTCGACATACTTGAGAATCTGAGACTTGGCTGTACCCGGGTCACCTAGCAGGAGAACATTGATATCTCCACGAATTGACATCTTGCCCTGAGCCTCCTTGCTGACTCCACCAAAGAGGGAGAGAGCAACGGCAGTCTTGACATCTTGATGACCGTAGATACTGGGTGCCACTGAGCGGACGATTTTATCAACAATATCTGGGTCGCGCGATAGAGCACGGATCTCACGCTCATCTTCTTCCGTCAAGTGGAAACCAGCCAGCTGGTCGTGTGACTTGACAACGTAGTTAGCCTCAATAATCGTCGCAAAGACAGGAAATCCGTTCTTATTGTTGAGTTGCGCGTCATAGCTGTTGCGATATATACCGGTAACTTCAATTTCATCACCCGGTTTGGCCGAGTCGATGAGATCGGCAAGAAGAATCACCTCGCGCTGTCTGGGCAGACGTCCGGCGGGGACTGATCCGGGAGATTCTTGCAGAGTAAGTTTCTGGTAGTTCCTGTACACTGTCTTCTCCGAATTTACAGTGAACGGTCCTTTAGACTGGCAGTTTTGGCAGTAGGAGATCTTCACTTCGGAGCTGCTCTCCTGCTGGAAAGGGCCCAGCGTGATGTTGCACTTCTGGCAAATGAACATCACATATTTCAGCTGTGGGAACACACCCGTCCGGCGGGTGACGACTCCACTGACACGGACAAGGCAGTTCAAATGGGACTGGCGCAGTTGTCGAAGGGTATAAACAATCGGAAGATCGGTAATGCGGACATGAATCTCGTTGTGAATGTCATGATATTGTGGGTAGTGGAAGAGAGTGACATCCAGAGCGACCTGGTCGAAAACCTTGAGAACTTCGGTGGGTTCGTTGGCAAGGAAGTACCCCAGAACAGCCTTGGTGCTGCTCAAGTGGGTGTAGGAGACTTCAAGAGAGGCAGAGTTCACCTCACCAAGAGTTTTAATTTTGTTTCCGTAGACCGAAGAACCTGTGGGGTCGGTAAATTCTGTGAGGAAAGCTTTGAATTCACGGTAGATGGATCGGAGGACTTGAGGTTGGAGGACCCAGTCGGTGATGTTGGATGATTTGACGTCGACCAATTCCTCAAGCGTGAGCTCTTCTAAGCCATCGTCGACCATCTCGATATCGTCCCGGTCCTCGTCGTAGTGGTGTCTGCGTCTGCGTGGTTGGCGAGTGAGATCAATGTCTCCTTCCTCGTCATCTTGCAGGAAAGCCGCGGGCATCCGGCGGCGACGGTCCAATTCACGGTCCCTCCTATCCAGGCGGGCTTCTAGTTCACGACGGGCGCTGATGTCGAGTTCTTCTTGGTCGTCATCGTCATCGATGTATCGTCCTCTATAGCGATCTTTTTTTAAATGGTGGTAATCTCTGTCATAATTATCACCGAAGAGATCAATCCCGTCTTCATCCTCCGCCATCTCCTCAATGTCATCAATATCAAGCTCGGCTTCCTCATCTCGCTCATCCTCATCGTCATCGAATGGCAGCATAGGAGGGGACGAGGGGGGGGCTAGGTAGAGAGCGTTAGCGCAAACAATTCCAGCTTGTCATCTTGGGCTCATTGGGACTTACGGCTGGAGGGAGGAGCAACCGACATAGCATCATCATCGGGTTCTCTTGATCTTTTACGCCTGCTCAGATTTCCCAAGCCGCGGTTTGCAGCAGAAGTGCTGGGACGGAGGGGTGAACTGCAAACACAAGGAGTTAGCACTCAAACTTAGGAAACGATCAAGATAAAGGGGATGAAACAGCATACCTCATTTTGTATGTGTTTTGTGTTCAGTCGTGCAATTCAACTGAAGAGTGAACAGACCGAAGCAAAATCACACTGACGAAGCTGTTTTTTTGCGTTGCTAGGAGAGGGATCCAGCGAAGGGGACCGAGTTTGCTTGGCGTGTGTTGCGGCGCGCGGCTGAGACGCGTTCCAACGCGACAAAGCGCGTCTCTACCAATTATACCAGATTGGGACATATGGCTTTTTCAAGGATTCTACGGAGTACTATCACAACTCGAGATGGACTCAATGGGTAGTTATGTATAAGAAGAAGACTCAAATGGAATAGTTAGATTAAGCCAAGATGAGCTTTCAGCCAAACAATAGTGCTCAAGTTCGTTGCATATTTTGGGTTTCGTGCGATCCCGAGTAACGACAATAGGCTGGTAAGAGAGGCATACCAGATGCGATGTTCTCGAATCTCAAATTAGGCCTGTGAAATGCCTGATTGATTTGTCTTACTCTAGGATCTACGGAGTACATGTAAGAATGACCTGAAAACTGATTCATCTTGGTCGTCAAGCAACAAGTGAAGCCTTACAAAACGCAGAAGTGCAAACAATACAAACACTCAAAGTGGCTCGCGCCTCTGCGCGTTCCACCAGCATCAAGTAGGGAGCAGAAAACAAGCCTTCATTGAACTTTGGGGGGTTCTCTGTCAAATTCTGTCTCTTGTATGCTATTTTAACACAGGCATCTCAATTCATTGTCTCCTGGAAGCAAAATGAACAACCCTGACGCCATTGCGCCGTCCACCGCTGCGCAGACGAGGAACGGACATGATGTCGCCAACCGCCGTGCAAGTTGCAGCTCTGAGAACTCCCAGACTGCAAAAGAGTATGTATCAAATTAATCTTCATTTCATCGTTTTACAGTCCAGAATCGCATCACTACGCTCATACTGTTTATTGATTTCTTCCTAACAAAAATTCTCTAGATTCATCGAATCTCAGATGCGCCTTGAGGCCGATGCTCGAGAAATCCTTCCCTATGTAACTCCACCCTCTAGAGACTTGATAGCCTCATAACATTAGGAGTTAACTAACATGTCAAGTCATTCGACTCTTGTACGAAAGCTCTCGGCCCGCTACGACAAAGCCTCTTCGCTTGTTTGACCTGCAACCCTCCTCCCTCGACCGCGGATACGTCATACACCCCGGCAGGTGTGTGCTACTCATGCTCCATCGCTTGCCACGGAGAACATACACTTGTCGAACTATTTAACAAAAGAAATTTCGTTTGTGACTGTGGGACGACCCGCGTTCCAGCATCCACCCCGTGCACGCTTCGAAGCGATTCTAAGACTGGCGCAAAGGGTGTGCACTCGGAGGAACCGCACGTGGGCAACCGATACAACGGCAATTTTCAGAACAAATTCTGCGGCTGTGGAGAGGACTACGACGCGCATGAAGAAAAAGGTACTATGTTTCAATGTCTTGGTCTAGGAACATTTGAGACGGGTGGTTGTGGTGAGGACTGGTGGCATCCCGAATGCCTTATCGGTCTTTCACGGGATTGGTATAAGGATTTGAAAAAGAAGGAGAGAACCGAACACGACACTTCTACTGAAAAAGTCATTGTTGGTGATGATGATGATGATGATGAAACGCCCCTTCCTCCTGGATTCCCCGCGGAAGATGATTTCGAGACCTTCATATGCTACAAGTGCATCGAGTCCAACTCTTGGTTGAAAAAATATGCCGGAACACCGGGATTCCTCCCTCCTATCTTCAAAGAAGGTGGATTGCCAAAGTCCACAGAGCAAGACCGTGTACCTGTGCCGGGACAGTCGGCTCTGAACCCAGAAAGTGACTCCAACAGCAACCCCAAGAAACGCAAGGCAGAGGACGACGACGACGACGACGACGACGCAGAATCAGGGAACGAACCCGTTTCCAAGCGACCCAAAGAAGACAACGAAAACAAAGACACCTCCATCCCTGAACTCCCAGAACATCAACTCAAATCAGAACCCGAGCAACAATCCACAGCCCAAAAACCCAAACATGAATCTCTCCCTCAAACTCCACCCTCCGGCGTCTTCTCCCTCTTCGTCAAAGAAGACTTCCGGGACCACTTTTGCCGCTGCCCCGAATGCTACCCAAATCTAGCCCAGCACCTCCAACTCCGCGAGGAAGAAGAGACCTACGAACCCCCCCTCTCAGAAGACGGCGGCAACGGTGGGGGAAGCACGGGTACCGGGAGCCTTATTGACCGCGGGGAAGCTGCTCTGAGCAACATCGATCGGGTCCGTGCAATTGAAGGTGCAATGGTCTACAATCACTTACGCGACAAGGTTAAGGAGTTTCTGAAGCCGTTCGCGGAGAGCGGCACGGCAGTTGGGGCGGATGATATCAAGGCTTACTTTGAGAAACTTCGAGGCGATGAACAACATATTAAAGAAGCAGCTGGTAGGGCATATGCGTCAAACAGCAAAAATGCTGGTGCTGATGATGATAATGATGGCGGTAACAATCGTAGAGAACAGAGTGGTATGTTACCTTCTTTTCCCTTCCATTTGCATGGCTAATGCGTAATTACTGACCTATCATAGGTTATTAATCGTTTCTCCTTTTCTTCTTTTGATATATTGGGTTTCTCGGATTTATTTATGGACTTGATATATTCATGATTCTTGAGATGTAGCCCTGTGATAAGGACATTTAATGCCGTGCAAGATCTACATTTGATACTCCACATGATTGTTCAGTATTGGCAGCTTAAGAAAATAAATATGATCAAAACAATCGATCCTTATGAAGTTAGTACAGTATATTCATCCTCAAAGAACTGTACAAGTTTGGTCGTATATAGGACATCTGGTTCATGGAAAAATGGAAAACGCCAAAACCAATGCTGTGATGGAAATCCCAAAATGGCAACTCCTAGGTGCAAATATATTATGCTGCAAGCAATATTCATAATAGAGTAATCACGATTGGATTACTCCTTCAGGCGCTTCGTAGCGCGGCCCATCAGACTATCGTCGGGAAGTCCGCTTCGTTTGGTTCCTGGGAGGCTTCCGGATCGGATATCATTGTCATCCTGAGTAACACGTCGGTGGGGGTACTTGCCCTCCGATCCTGCGAAGCAATTAGATGGAATGGGTCCACCGTTCTTGAAGTAAGGATGCTCTAAAGCTTCGCTAGCAGTGATTCTCTTGGTTGGATCGTAGTCGAGTAAACGCGATAACAGATCAAAGCCATCCGCACCCGGAGTCCCCACGCTAGATGCCGAAGAATATCCACCATTCTTCAGACAACTCTGGTACCAACTTTCGAGATTCGATGACCTGCTAAAATGATTGGGCGCACGGGACATAGCCAGGGACTGAAGTTGGGAATATTCAGGCATTGAGACGATACCAGGCCAATTCTCTTTATGAGGTAAACCCATGATATCGATAATCTTCATCATCTGATTTCGTTGAAATGGAACTGTCTTCTTGCTGTCCATTTTGGCTTCTTCTCCTTTGAAAATCGGACGAAGAGATAGTAGTTCTGCAAAGATACAACCAACAGCCCAAAGGTCGACAGCAGGAGTATAGTGCCGACTACCCATGAGCAATTCCGGGGCACGGTACCAGATGGTAACAACAACCTTATCGCCGGAAAAAAGCGAATTCAGTGGCTTGTAAAACAGTCGTGCAAGCCCCAAATCTCCAATACGAATGGCCCCACTGGATGTCACGAGGATATTTGCGGGCTTTAAATCTCGGTGCAGAACCCAATTTGTGTGAAGATACAGTAAGCCGTTGAGTAGCTGAAACAAGATCGACCTCACCATAGGAGCCGGTATAGGATGTCGCTGTGGTTGAGTATGGTGATGGATAATCTGAAGAAGATCGTGCTCTGTGTATTCAAAGACCATGAAGATGCACTTATCTTCTAGAATGATTTCTGCTAATTGAACCACATTTGGATGGTCTAGCTCGGAGCAAAGAGCCATCTCCCGAATAGCAGACTGAGAGAGCCCTGTGTATTGGATGACCTCACCCTCTTTGTCGGGTTTGAACCTATTTAGACTATTAGCAACTAGTAAACTAGTACTTAGGCTAATGCTGCATTAAGGTACCAACTTTTTGATTGCAAATTCACCCTTTTGGCCATTTTTACTAATAGCCTTGTAGACTCGACCATAGGTACCACTGCTAATAAAGCCGACGATATGATACTTGTCTCGTACACGGACTTTGCTGGTGTATCCGGTCCCTGATTTTCTTGAACTTAGACTATCTTTGCATGAGAAAATAGTTAGTATTGATTAGCCAGACAATTGTAATGGGTTAAATGAAATCCAAAAACATTAGTGAAAACTATAGAGTGCAAGGAAAAAACCAAGAGGCTGGTCTAAGAACTATAACAACAAAGAAAAAGTAAAGAAAACAATATTGGGTGTCTCTCAAGCTATGGCAGACTATGAGAGCTAAAAAAAGGAAACAATTACCACGTGGATAAAACCCGCCTAGTGAATTGAAGAACGGGAAATTCCTTCCAAGCATGATGAAAGAATAACAGGCAGTCAAATAGGTGCAACCCGAGAATCACCAGCAAAGGGTTCAAGAAGGTCATATATATAGAAAAGGCAGTGACAGAGGCCTCTTTCACCGGTGTACATATGGATGGGTGAGACCAACAGCGGGATGCGGGTGGCAAAGGACGGAACAGTGCAAAAATAAAATAAAATAAAAATCGAGACAGACAGACGGTTTGATAATAATAGAACAGAAGGAGAAAGGGAAAGGGGGGGGATAATAATATTAAGCAGTATTACCATCGACAGCGGCCTGCAGACTCTTTTTGAGCGAGAGACTCTGGCTGACGGTCGCCGCTGCGGGCCTGGAGGTTGCAGTTAAAGGGCCGGATGAGGAAGGCGGGTTTGTCAGACTCATGGAGAACCGAGAGAAAGGGTAGGAAGGTGGTGGTGGAGAGGAGAAGTGGAGGCAGCCGATGGGTTAGCTATCAATCAGGAGCCGGGAGGACACTCGGAGCCCATGGAAACAAGAGTGACGCGCGGAACAGGACACGGAGAAATGGATATCCGCTAAAACATTGTAGTCAGAGCTGCAGGAATAAATAGTAATATAAACTAATGGAAATTGATGAATGAATGATGGGGATGAGAGAAACAGACGATGGTTGGTGGTAGATGAGAATGAAGCTCGTAACATCGACCTTTGCAGCTCTCTTAGGCTGGTTCATGGTTAGTCAGCATTTGGGCCTGCAAGTTGATTTGCTTTTTAGGGGCCCCAAGGACTACCTAGGTACAATAGACACTGCTCCTTAGTGGTTGGACTAATCCATCCCTGAGCACTCGCAGCCTCTATTAAGGGGTGGGTGTAAAGGGGTTCTAACCAGGCATTTCGGCCAGGTATCTCCGACCCTTTACTGCCGTAAGGTAGCAGTGGTACTTGATTTTTCGGAGTTCTCTAGAATACTCCGTGCATACGAAGTAAGGCTTATCTATGGTGGTCAATAATTACCTAGTTAGTATCAACGTATCAAGTCATATCTATCTCTAGTAATTTGGGATGAATTGTCATTTACAGTAAACTGATACTTCGTCTCTATCCGACCTAACACTTTTTGGTGATGGAGAAAAAGAGCTCCCGAGGTCTGTTTGATACTGCTAGCGGAATTACTATGTTCCTGTAGGGATCGCCAATTGGCGGAATCCCCGCTAACTACAAAAATACCCGGATTATATCTAGAGATATACGTGGAGTTGCTCCTAGACCTTCTTATTAAATAATATATGAAAGTCCCCCTCAAACACCCGTGGTATGACCCGTACACCGTGCTGAGTTCTACGCGCGCTTCGGAAGAACTATGGCCCGCAGGGCCATCTTTTCCGTGCTGTAGAACCTGGGGATGTTGCTTAACCTGTTAGCTATAGAGATTCCTATATTATCTACTTTTATAAGTTATTACTATGCTAATACCTACTTCAATGCCTACTTGAATGCCTGCTAATACCTGCTTTAATACCTGCTTTAATACCTGCTTTAATACCTGCTTTAATACCTGCTTTAATACCTGCTTTAATACCTTCTTTAATGCCTGCTTTGATGCCTGCTTTGATGCCTGCTAATACCTGCTTTACATAATACTTGCTTTAATACCTGCTTGAATGCCTGCTTCAATACCTACTTGAATGCCTACTTGAATGCCTACTTAAATGCCTACTTGAATGCCTACTTGAATGCCTACTTGAATGCCTACTTGAATGCCTACTTGAATGCCTGCTAATACTTGCTTTAATACCTACTTGAATGCCTGCTTTAATACCTGCTTTAATACCTACTTGAATGCCTGCTAATACCTGCTTCAATACCTATTTTAATGCCTGCTTTGATGCCTGCTAATACTTGCTTTAATGCCTACTTTAATACCTCCTTTAATGCCTGCTAATATGCCTACTTGAATGCCTGCTTGAATGCCTACTTGAATGCCTACTTGAATGCCTACTTGAATGCCTACTTGAATGCCTGCTAATACTTGCTTCAATGCCTACTTGAATGCCTACTTTAATACTTACTTGAATGCCTGCTTTAATACCTGCTAATACCTACTTGAATGCCTACTTGAATGCCTACTTGAAGGACTACTTGAATGCCTACTTTAGTGCCTCCTTTAATATCTACTTTAATACCTATTTTAATTCTAACTTCCATGCTTGCATTAATATAGTAGCTATCATACTAATATGCAAGCCGCCGAGCGTAGTGAGGATTTGAGGCTAGTATTGACTAAATAGCTAGCATTGTCCTTACTACAGAGGACTCTTCCAGATTCACTATAGGAAAAAACTGGGTATCTTGATTTATCAGTACTAGTCAGAGATTAAGAGTCACTTTATACGAGGACTTAAAGGTCTTAAATTAGTGATCTGTACGGAGTAGTATGGGATCTATTAGGGGTTCTACTATAAATGATGGTATGAACTGATGGCTTGGGCTGTTCTTTAGGAAAAGACGGTGAGAGGGGAATATTTACATACAAATCAATAACCAGTAAATACTCCACAGATTGGCTACCCCTGAAGGATAGTCAGACCTAGGTAGTAAATCCAATATCACTCAGCCCCCTTTCTTCCTTTTCTCTATTACCTGCACTTACTCCATCAAGAAGGTCATACCTCTATTTTTTTCCCTACCTTCGCAGAAATTGCGGCTACGATCATTTTTTCTGATCTGATGGACACTACGAGTGACTTTTCTTTCCCACCTGGTATTAGCCTACAGGATGTCAAGGGACGTGGAACAAGTGGAATGGCAGTCTTAGGCCCAAAAAATAAGTATATTATCAAGTTTCCCCTTGGTGATGATGATGAATGTGCCCATTGTGATCGTGAAAGGGAGATATATGCATCAGCTTTTAGAATTTTTATTATATCCACGGCCATCCTCTCTCTTGAAATTCCGTGGTAGTACAAGCCATGGTATTCTACTGGATTATGTAGAGCCCAGCCCGGTACGACAATTTTTAAGAAAATCACAATATTCAATTCCCTTGTCTACTTTGCTTTGTTGGGCGCAACAAGCAGCAGAAGTATTATAATTTATTTATTCAAATAGAATCTATCATGGTGATGTGAGCTGTACAAACTTTTTTCTTGACCAATCTCTGGACCTGAAGGTTGGTGATTTTACTAGCCCATTTAACAATTCACCTGCTACTAGTATTCTGCAACCTTTACTAGAGGACATATCGAATTACGGCTCTGCTCTTTATGAGATGACAACAGGCTAATTACCCTATAAAGATCTTTCTGAAGAAGAAAGAGAGCAGAAACTTAAGGGAAAATTATTTCTAGATCTTACAAGTATAGAATTGAAATCAATAATTCTTCAATATTAGGATGGTCACTATACTAGCTTTGCAAGTATCTTAGATGATATTAATACCGCATGTATGTTTGCTATCTCAAAAAAAGCCATTGCCATACTCGCCCATGAATAGATCTGGAATACTCCCAGTAATCCTCTTTTACAAAAGCATTCGCCTTTATACTTCTTATTCATGTTGTTGACAACTTCTTTGAGATACTAATTCAATATGGATGGCAAACCTTCAAACAGCTATAGCAAGTCTCAGAAATGGCATATGAGAGCATCTAAGGACAAGCTAATGATGCTTAACACACTTGTAACATGGTCCAGGAATGCTGGTGGTACCCTAGTCCTAAGGAGCTGGCTGAGGGTTAGGGCAGTTTTTCCTCTTGGGGCACACATGCTTAGGGCTTTTTTGGCAGTTCTTGTATATGATATCATATTGGTGATAGTAAAACATGATGGATTGGTCAAATTATTTGGCTTAGACAAGATTGTTCTTCAAAGAAGTTTGTATTATCTAGAGGAAATAATTCTGGTTGAGCGCAGGATAGTGAGGTATATGGTGTTGTATCTGTGGGCCTCAAGCACCAAACGCTTGCAGGTATGGTCGTATCATTTATTCTTTAGCTTGGTCTCCTTGTTGCAGGAGGGTTCCAGTTAACTGGGGATAGCCTGAGTAGATGATTCATATTAGTTCGCCGGTTGTGTGCATATCTATGTAGTGGATGAGTTCTGGACCGACCTGGAGGGGTTGAGCTACGTCCATATTAGTTGTATATATTATTTGGTGTGTTGGGATGGTTCAGATTGAGGCTGAGAGCTGGAGAGAGTTCGTAATAGCTAGGAGATAGATACACCTTTTTGGTGTGTTTGAGGACAGGGCTTCCACAATATTAAAAAATATCTCATAAGGTAGATTCAAGAGATGTATTTACACAAGATTAGTAAATTTTGAAAGGAAAAAATTAAAGGGAAGCGTACTTTTAAGACATGGGTAGCTGATAAAAGAGGAAATATATAGCTTAAGGTATATGGAGTTGGCCTTACTTTATAGTCTAATAGGATAACAGTCAGTAGAAATGCCAATTGTCGATATACTGTGGTTTAAGAACAGTGCTTGAGTTCCCGTCGTTAAGAAAATGCATCTATACATAACTGTATATATACACAATAACTGTAGCGGGATTGAGAATCATTAGCTAGAAAAGCCCGGTGGACATGGAGCCTAGATTCGCTGCCTTTTTAGATCTGCTAGGTTGGTTAGGCTCCGATTTATTAATACTAGATTTATACTCTGAGTTAACTAACTACCTACCTAAGGTAGTTATAGGGCACTTTGTAGTCTGTACTGTGTAAGTCAAATATATGAAGCCCTCCAAATAGGGTATATTTCCTAATTCGGAATAGAACAATTTGGTAACAGCAAGACGGAGTTATCTAATCCCGATGCGGTCTGTCTCTCTGCAACGTCATCTCACCATCCACAGCCATCAACCATACTCGATAAATAGTCTGCTCAGGGTAGGTATGATACAGGTCTAGAGTCACAGCTATTCAATTCAAAAGTGCTTCTACGGACCATCCCCACGTCCAAGGAGTTCCGATTTCATTATGCCGACGGGGGACGTGGCCCGATCGAACGTCACACCATACCTCATCTACCTCGTGTTTATCACCACCTTAGGTCCACTTCAGTTCGGATACCACTTGGTAAGCTTTAAATCTTTACTGCTGGTAAGCTCTGACTGATGGCCTGATAATCACTGACCATGGTTTATGACAGGCCGAGCTGAATGCACCCCAAGCCGTGATTACCTGCGAGCGCAAAAGCATACATTCCTCCACCCCCCAAATATCGGTCAATTTACCACAATGTATCCCCATGACCCCATCCCAATTCGGCCTGGTATCATCAATTTACACACTGGGTGGTCTTTTGGGGGCTCTGCTGGCAGGGCCGGTCTCGACAAAACACGGACGTTCGTTTGCTTTACGTGCCACGACTCTTTTCTTCATCTTGGGACCCGTGGCTGAGACCCTGGCATCAAATATCCCGGTACTCAGCATTGGTAGACTTCTGTCCGGTGTCGGATCGGGAGCAGCCATTGTGGTTGGCCCAATCTACATTTCAGAGATCGCTCCTCCCAGCGCCAGGGGCTTCTTTGGCGCTTTCACACAGGTTATGACCAATGTTGGTATTCTGCTTACCCAGACATTAGGTTATTTCTTCAGTGAGGGAAGCATGTGGAGAATTATACTAGCAATTGCCGGTATTATAGGAGCCATGGAGCTGCTTGGTCTTACTTTAGTTCCAGAGAGTCCTACCTGGCTCGCAGAACATCAGAAAGGAGATTTAGCCCGTCGTGTACTCCAGCGGATCCGCGGGAAAGATATCGATATTCGAGGAGAATTAGAAGGCGCAATAATCGCGAGCTCTAGTGACGAGGCTGGAGAAGAGCAGTCGCTGCTCACTCCCCCATCTAGTAACCTGCCCCCAAAACAGCCTCCGATAACCATGGCTCGGGTGTTCATGGACCCTGATTACCGCCCAGCCATCATTGCTGTTGTTGGAGTCATGGTCGCCCAGCAATTTACGGGTATTAACAGCATTATCATGTACAGTGTCTCCCTTTTGCAGAGTATTTTACCCACAACAGCAGCACTGCTTTCTGTGCTGATCTCCGCCATCAATCTCATCATGACCCTTGCTTGTTCACCGTTGCCGGATAAGATTGGCCGAAAATCCTGTCTTTTGCTCAGCATCAGCGGGATGGGATTCAACTCTATCCTACTCGCGGTAGGGATCTATTTCAATATGAAACCCCTATGTGCAGTCGCCGTTCTACTCTTTGTTGCTTCGTTTGCAGTTGGTTTGGGCCCTGTACCATTCATTTTGGCCTCTGAGCTCGTCGGCCCGGAGGCCGTGGGGGCCACACAGAGCTGGGCGTTGGCTGCCAATTGGACTGCCACCTTTATTGTGGCACAGTTCTTTCCGATGTTAAATGATGCCTTGGGCGGCAGGGGTAAGATTTACTGGCTCTTTGCCGTGATGGCCGGCATCTTTGGGGGTTTCATTTATTTCAGGGTACCAGAAACCAACGGCAAAAAGAGTATGGACGAAGTATGGGGCAGAGAAGATCAACGAAGAAGGGACTGAGAATGGGATATTGCTACTTCTAGTATTTTCTCAGGCTGACGTGTTCCATATGCCACCCATCCGACATATCCCCTTCTGTCTGTCTCTCTTTCCTTTCTTTTTTAGTATAGTATTGTAATTGCGCAGTGGTGCATATTTCACTCGCCGGACTGAGGAATGGCATATCCAATAAATACTCGGAGTTAGCACACGCCCTAAGAGATGCATGCTATCTCCATCAACACTCCATACATAGACCCTGCCTTGCCCGCGACACGGGAGAAGAGCGCAAATCGAATGCGGGTATCAATCATGAGGTCGGAGCGATGAAAAGTGGCATGCTCAAACAGGACACTCCGGAGGGAGGCGGAAGAGGTGTCTAGACGGTCTCGAGGATGACGACTCTCTCCTCACCTATGATTACTTAATTATCTATGATTCCATAAATTGACGCTAAATACTAATTCCGTGAAACATTGTCTTATTTCATTCGTCAGCATTTTGACCTAGGTATCATCCTACCTACCTAAGGTACTGAGTACTCTGCAGGTCCATGGAGTCGACCAGGCGACCTTAAATCATCCCAGTGTGGGTTCTTTCTGCCGCGCACAATTTGCACCATGAAAAGGCCCGGCCCTTCTCCCGCCCCATTTCCCTCCTCTTCGGCCCTGATTTGAAAATCTTTGTGTCCTCCCGTCCTCAGCTCCAATTTAAATAACGAACTCTTTGCTTCAGATGGATTGTTATGAACGTCGATATCGAGGTGGATCGAGCGCGAATGCAGTCGGTGCGGGGCAGGGAATGACAGGCCCAGCATCCATCCGTATCAATCCCTCCTGTGAGTAGATAGTACTCTCAGAGTCGACGTCAGATTTATATATATTACTAGGACTAACCCTTTTTTTTTTTTTTTCGGTCTGATTATCTACTCCAGTCTCCAGGTTCGGTCGGAAGAGACAATGAATAAGAATATCGGAGATTGGTTGAACATGTACTCCGCTGGGTCCACTACTGCTCTATGATGCAAGACAAGATGTATGTAGGTACACTCCGTACCTACCTAGTACTCCATGCAACGCATGATGGACATACTCTGGAAGTTTGTAAACTCCTCCCTACGGACTGATTTGATAAAATGCTATATTGAAAGGGTTACTCCAGATTGAAGTTTCCCGCTACGTCCTCCTCATAGCACTGGACAGTCCGGGTGCAGACGGGAAGAATCAAGCTGCGGGATTTTCGTGCGGAGGTGGCGTTACTCGAAGCTTCGAATCTCCCAACAGGATCCGGATACTGGACATACCTACCAGGCTAGACGGCAGCTAGTACTCCGTAGAGGAGGAGTAATGAAGGAAAGGGGAAAAGCATGGAATTCTATTTGTGTCCAACATAAACTGCGGAAAATACATAATACTCTCTAGCCACAGCATTTCTTGGCAGAATAGGCAGCCACTTCCTCTCGTCTTGGTGTTTTTTTTTTGTTTTTTTTTACATGCTCTGCTGTTTCTGCTGTTACTCTTGCTTATCAAGAAGTTGAGTAGTTAATGGGGAGTCTGGTTCGGAGTGGATCGACCAATGCTTCTTTAGGTAGAACTTTAGGGAGGTTCCCTGTTTTTCAAAAGCGCCAATGAATAATGCCCCGTCTAGTCAGTTGCTTCTTGAGTCATGTTGTGGTGAAAGTAGCCAGAGGTTCCAAGACTGTATACTACTGTAGATGATGAGATGTCAGAGTATGATTATTACTTCTGACCAGTTAGTTAGTTAGTTAGTTACTATAAGATCATGAGTGTAAGATTGTTCATATAAGACCTGTCAATCACTGCCCCCAGGCTATGTCTAGTTGAAAAAAAAAAAGCCTCACCATACCAACAACCACCAAGAATCCAGTGTAGTAGTAATAATAGTAGTAATAATAGTAATAATATAATCATAATCCTCTACTCCGTACAGCCATTCTTATTAACTTCCTTATTCCCATCGTAAAACCCCACTATTAGATTCCTGTTGCGTCTCCTTTCCCTGCTCACCACTACGACTACTAGACTACCCACACATAGGAGAAGTGGCCGATTGCCCAACTCGTCTTCCCTTCTTCGCTCGCTCTAAGTTTCTCTTCTCAAGAAATTTATCTTTTCCTGTAAATCTATTTTAGTCCTATTGTAGCAGCAGTGAACCTTCTTCCCCCTCTCTCTCCAGTTCTGCAGACACTCTCATTTTTTGGTTCTATTGGATCGTCCCGAAGGCAGATCTTAGATCGACTCCAGCACGAGAAAATCGACGGACACCTTCAACTTGACACGAAGGGAGGCAACCACACCGCGACCTCTCTCCGTCGCTGGGCCTTTCAGCCCACGCACGCGCACAGGCCATTCTATCGCCAATTTCCTCCCCCCCTCCCCCAAATTCTATTCTATCTCCAGCTTATTTCAGAAATCTTTTCTTTCCTCAGGTTTCTCCTCCAGGTGTTGATTTGCCCTCCTCGTTGTCGCCACGCTCGTCCGCCGGGCTCCGTCCAACCTGTTTCCCCCCCGCACTTCCCGACGACGGCCATCATGGTGCGGCTTCCATTGCCCCAACGTCTCAGCTCGCATTTGAGCACGAGAAGCAATGCTTCCACACCAGGTCAGAGTCGAAGCACCAGTCCCATGAGGTCTCCGGACCTGAAGTCGTTGATTCTAAAAGTTTCCGTCATAAAGGTGAGTAGCATGGGCAACCGCGCGCTGAACAGCTCAGCTCATTTGGAGCTCTCCGACCGTAGTTTCTTGTTCGTGTATCTCATTATCATTTTAGGGGAGGAATCTGGCGGCGAAAGACCGAGGAGGCACAAGCGACCCAGTAAGCATCCCCTGAGTGAGAGGATCCAATTAGAAGGACAAGAGATGCGAAAACCGAACCCAAAAGAGACAAGCAGCGGCATTGACAGTGAACGATAAAACTAACGACCTCACTCTCAGTACCTGATAGTTACCCTTGGGGATGCCCGACAATCAACCCCCACGATATTTAAAACATTAAACCCGGAATGGAACGTGACTTTTGAAATGCCAGTCGTCGGTGTTCCACTACTTGAATGTATCTGCTGGGACCATGACCGATTTGGCAAAGATTACCTGGGCGAGTTTGACATTGCATTGGAGGACATATTTTCGGATGGAAACATCCAGCAACAGGTGCGTATCCGCGGTCTTTTGATATACCTGCTGGGACCAATGAGCTCATAATTGTTGGTAGCCAAAATGGTACACCCTGAAATCGAATCGAAAACCGACCAAGAAGAAGGATAGCAACATTTCGGGAGAAATTCTCCTACAATTTTCGTTATTGGACCCGACAACCCCGACTACATCGTCTGCAGAAATATACTCCAAGTTCAAAAGCCTCGTTTGCGCCGGAGAAGAGGACGATTACTTCCCTCCTGTCTCGTCAAATCTAGAGGAATCTGGTGAGCGAGACGAAGAGACATCCGATGAGACGGATGATCCAACAAAGCCGGAGATCGTGGAAAAGCGGAGGAGAAGGCTACGGTTGAAGCGTCTGAAGCGCAAGTCATTGGCGGCGAGGGCATATCAGTTCTCGGGCGCCGGAAATGGTGTCCAAGGTATTGTGTTTATGGAAATCGTCAAGGTGACTGATCTCCCACCTGAGCGAAATGGTAAAAAAAAAAATCCCCCTGTTTGTTCCCTTGAACACTTGCAGAAGCTAATCAGTTGCAGTCACTCGTACCTCCTTTGATATGGATCCGTTCGTCGTCACCTCGCTAGGACGCAAGACTTTGAGAACACCGGTTGTGCGCCACAACCTGAACCCAGTATATCACGAGAAAATGGTCTTCCAAGTTATGAAACATGAGCAGTTGTACACAATGAGTTTTACCGTTATGGATAGGGACAAATTCTCAGGCAATGATTTCGTTGCTTCTGCAGGATTCCCGCTTCAAACTCTTATCCAAGCTGCTCCTGAAGCCGACCCAGAGACTGGCCTGTATAAATTCTTAGAGCCGTCTCTTGATCCACCAACCCCCGAGGAGCCCGCTCCCATCGCAAAATCCGATGTCAAAATCGAGATTAGCCCATCCCCCTCATCAACCAGCTTATCAAAACTATCGCGGCCAAGCATGAGATCCAGGAGTTCTGCCGCCTCCTTATCTGCCCTAGTGCAACAGGATCCCCTAGGTACACTCCCTTCGTTAGCTATTCCAGATGAAGGTGCAAGTAGCAGCATCTCAAGTGCGCCTACAGCAGTGAATACTGCGATTAAACCGGTTTCTTATGAGTCAGATGGCCTTCGGTTGTATACAATTCCCTTGGTCCTGAAGAACAAGGAAAGATGGGAAGATAAACACTCCCCGCAAATTATCGTCAAAGCCAAATACATGCCGTACCGTGCATTGCGACAACAGTTCTGGAGGTTGATGCTGCGTCAATACGACGCGGATGACAGCGGTCGCATCGACAAGGTTGAGCTGACCACGATGCTGGATACCCTCGGATCAACTTTGAAGGAGTCTACGATCGATAGTTTCTTCGACCGCTTTGCTTTAGAGAACGAATCAACTGACATCCAAAGCCTAACCTTTGACCAAGTTGTTATGTGTCTTGAAGATACCCTCCAGGCGCTACAAAAAGACCAAAGAACGATGGGCAAGAAAACTTCACCGACTCCATCAACAGGTAGCCAAGAAAGTGAGGATCAATCAAGTGGTGATGACCTCGCATTTGAAATCGGCACCTCTCTACCAACCCATCAGGCAACTTCCGCCCCGACATTGTTTTCAATGGACCAGCTCTCTTCGAACGACGAGGACCTTCGTCCGGACGACCTAGGCGATGAAGGCGGCGAAGAGCATGTCATTGAACTTCGAGAATGTCCTCTTTGCCATCAGCCCCGACTTTCTAAACGCTCTGATGCAGATATTATCACACATATAGCTACCTGTGCCAGCCAGGATTGGCGACAGGTCGATAATCTCGTCATGGGCGGCTTTGTGACCTCCAGCCAGGCACAACGCAAGTGGTATACCAAAGTCATCACCAAGATTTCTTACGGTGGCTATAAGCTAGGTGCGAACTCGGCGAATATTCTTGTCCAAGACCGTATCACTGGACAGATCAATGAAGAGCGAATGAGTGTCTACGTTCGTCTCGGTATTCGTCTTCTATATAAGGGTCTCAAGAGCCGGGAAATGGAGAAGAAGAGAAGTATTTATTTCGTGAAGCATTTGGTTTTCCTCGAAGCTAACAAGGGTGTATAGTTCGCAAAATTCTCAAGTCGCTTAGTATCAAACAGGGAAGGAAGTACGATGATCCAGACTCTGCCAGCCAGATTCGGGACTTTATCAACTTCCACCAACTAGATCTAACAGAGGTCTTGCTACCTCTGGATCAGTTTAGGAATTTCAATGAATTCTTCTACCGCGCACTAAAGCCCGGTGCCCGGCCTTGCTCGGCTCCGGATGAGCCCAGGATTGTCGTTTCCCCTGCCGATTGCCGAACTGTTGTGTTTGATCGGATTGATGAAGCAACCGGTATCTGGGTCAAGGGAAGGGAGTTCTCCATCAAGAGACTCCTTGGAGATGCTTACCCGGAAGACGTTTCACGTTACCAAAACGGAGCCTTGGGAATCTTCCGCCTTGCGCCCCAGGATTACCATCGGTTCCATATTCCCGTTGATGGAATCGTGGGAGCCCCGAAGACCATCGAAGGAGAATACTATACAGTGAACCCGATGGCCATTCGCTCTGCACTAGATGTGTATGGCGAGAATGTGAGAGTTCTTGTTCCGATTGATTCGGTTGCCCATGGACGCGTCATGGTGGTTTGTGTGGGTGCCATGATGGTCGGAAGCACCGTCATTACGCGCAAGACAGGAGAGAAGGTTTCTCGGGCGGAGGAGCTCGGATACTTTAAGTTTGGTGGAAGTACCATTCTACTTCTCTTTGAAGAAGGGGTAATCAACTTCGACAGTGATCTGGCGGATAACTCAAGAGGGCGTTTGGAAACTTTGGTAAGCAAAGCAGCTTGAACCCCCTTGCTGTTCCTAGCGCATGACTTTGACCCAGGCTAACTTTCATTATCAGGTCCGAGTGGGTATGTCAGTGGGACACAGCCCTGAAATCCCCGAGTATGAGCCTGACCTACCGAAGAAACCGGAAAATGTCAGTTTTGAAGATTTGCAGGCTGCCAGGCGCAGAATCGAGGGCAGCTTAGCACCTCCCCCCAGCACCTCCCCCCAGCTGTGAATACGGCCTGGGTTTTACTATCATGTAGCGAGAAAGGGGATACACTGCTTTATGGCGTTATGGGATGACTTTTCAAGGCCCGGCCGGCGCCTTTCGTAGCATATAACTAGCAAATTACAAAAGGCTGCTATTGGGGACTGTGCCCATGTCCCATGCTAGTTTTGGAGGGTACTGCGGCTATCCATGCATACATAGACTTGAAGGTAGCATATATTACATGATGTGTGTTTATAAGGAATTATGTATAACTATTCAAATAAAGGTTTTTATTGTCTGTCCACCTTACTATAACTATAGTTACAGAGTATATAAATTAGAAAAAAGAACCGGTGTCTCCAAAAGCAGACTAGCGCCGTCCCCACGCGCCACGACCAAAACAACCGCGTGCTGCGGGCGACTTGAAGCAAATCCCCCCCTCAGAAAAGTCAACCCCAACGACTTGCTTTGAGATCCTGTTGCGCAAGGAGTGACTTTTAGAGATCCGCCAGTCTGCGCAGGATTCTATTCTGCCATCTTCGAACAGCCGCCCTCAATTGCAGTTTTGCCTTGGTGGGTTGTTGAAAGCGCGACCGACACACGCCGAGCGAAAGCCCCCATTATTACTCCCGTTAACGACCAAAGCATCAACTCTGACGCAGTCGCGACCGTGGAAAACGATTGAACCAGAACTGGATTCGAACGGAAATACAGATACGCTACGCAGGAGGAGCCTTTTTTTTTTTTCGCGATCAGTCCCCTGGCGGGTACATTGTTTGGTTGGGATTCGACTCGACTGTCCCCTGGAATTAGACCGCCAACACATCACATCACATCACATCACATCGCCAAATCTGCGAAAGATTCTTCACGGCGCGAGGCGAGAGGAAACCCCAACCAATCTTAGCAATAGCGACTTGAATCAAAATCTCTCTTCGTACAATTGTTGTCTCCTTTCGCATTTAAGGCAGCGAGTGAGAATCCGTGAGGGGAGTCGATCGGCTATTTCTAGCAGTTTTTTCTGGGCTCATATTTTCTCTCACACACATCGATAACGATTCTCTCCGCGCCGTGTCTCGGTCCTGACATGACCGTCACTGTTTTAGCCACTTCCACGTCCACGACTCAGACGAAGCGTCGCGAACCTCTGAGGGTACTTGATATGGCAACGTCCCAGGCGCGGGCGCGTCATCCGCCGTCCGCCGCGCCTGGAGGAACTCATACGGGAAGAGGGAGGAGGTCGAAAGCAAGTGTAGAGAGGCAAGGTGGGAATGAGGAGAATGTGAATGGGGCAGAGAAGAAGCGGAAAGCTGGTGAGTTACTTCTCAATAATTATTTTCTTCTTCTTCTTCTTCTTCTTCTTCTTCTTCTTCTTCTTTCTAAAGGGGCGCATGAAAATTGCAACGTAACTAATTTCACTTGCTTGCTGCTTTTATAGACTTTTACAATGAAGATGTGGAAGGGTTTCAGTTCTCACGTATTACGACAAAGAAAGCAAAAGGATCGAAAGATGTTATTCCTGAGTCGCCGATACCAGCGCCAGAGAATCAAGCTCGTCAGCAATCCCCAAGGAGAGGCCGCCCGCCGAAGAAACGGTCGGAGGAGCAGAAATCGGAGAGCGTAACGGTGTGTAAGCAGACGGCAGCTGAGGGTACAGGGAAAAGGCAGAAGCGGGGAAGCACGAAATCAACTGCACCTGAAGCTGAAGCTGAAGCTGAACCAGAACCAGAACCACAGCCGGAAAGGAGCACGCGCTCAACGCGAAAACGAGAATCTGGCGAACATGTGCCGACAGAGAGGAAGAGGAAGAAAGGCAGGCCGAGCAAGTCGCATGAAGAGAAAACCAACGGCTTTGTATCTCCGGAGCCGCAACACACTGGGACATCTACAATTGCCCTGCCCCTAGCGGACACCCCGGTTATACAGCGTAACAAGGAGATGCGAGGAGCGAAGTCAGCGAAGGGGAATAGGCGCAGCAGTCTAGGCATGCGAGGACGGAGAGCCAGTTCGCTCATTGATTCCGGGGCTTCAAATGGTGAGGGAGAGATCTTCGCCTGTATAGGATTGAGAACTGACTGCGATATACAGCATTGCCGCATAAGAAAGTAGATACAGCAGATTTCTATAAGCACATTGCGAATGATGGTCTACCAGAGCCACGAAGAATGAGGCAGCTTCTGATTTGGTGCGCGACACGAGCAATGGGGGATAAGCCCTCAGGCTCGCGCTCAGAGGATGAGAGCGCCCGTCTCGCAGGTATGTGAACTATGCACTTAATTGGGTCAATTAGGTCCAAACTGACCGAATTAGCACGTGTGATCCAGGAAGAACTGCTTAAGGAATTTTCCAGCAACTCTGAGCTTTCCAACTGGTTTGGGAGAGAAGATACAAGCCCTCCGACTCTCGTTGTGAAGAAGGAAAACCCGAAGAACATACAAAATCAAGAAAAGATCAAGGAACTGGAGGAGCAAATCCACAAGTAAGTTTCGCCGGGTGTCATTTGGAATCGACTAACAGTCTCTAGGCTACAAAAGGAGAGACAAGCACTTAACGCACTTCTGCGACCTCCTTCAATACCCAGGGTCAACCCAGCACGCAAGCAGAAAGAGCAGATGCCCAAGGGGCAATCCAAGCCCGACTCCGAACCGACGCCGGGCTTGCTTGATGAGCCCATTGATCTATCCGCATTAAATCCCTCACAGCAAAAGATCCTTGCGTCCATAGACCCAGAGACAGCCAAACGATATCGAAAGGACACACAATCCCAAGAACCCGAGCAATCCGCTGAATCCAACCACCTCCCTCCAATCACACCCTCAGTCGTATCCACGCGTCTGTCCCGCATCACAAACCGGCTAGCACCAATGCTTGACTCACTCGCTGCCGGAGTCCACGACATCGAATTATACCGATCGCTGTCCGATACGGTCTCAGCGCAGATCTTACAGATCTGCGCCAAGCGACTGGAAGAACGAGATACACGAAAGGCCCTCCGACGACTCGCGATCGCCGGAGACCAAGAAGGCCAGAAAGAGACCGTTGCTCTGCGGCCACGACCTAAGGAGGATCTCGGCTTGATTCTTGGTGCATTAAGCCGAGTCGAGAGGCGGTGAATGACCTGTAGCTCAGCAGCTATATAACCAACCAAGAGGATCTTTCCTGGGCTTTTCTTCCTTGATTTCGTTATATTCTTCTTTTTCCCATTGTTTCTCTTTTTTTTTTTGGGCTGATGTTGGCTGGCTGGTGGTGTGAGTACTTGGTTTGACTTGAGTTGGTTTGAATTCTACGGCATACAAGCAATGGAGTTGGGGTGTTATTAGGAGGATGAAGTTGATGAGCTTCGCATGGGTTGTTCTGTCTGTACAAGGTTGTAATCCCAGATGTGAATTATCTAGCTATCTTTATATATGTGTGAATTGTAAACTCAGTTAAGATTACCTCTTAAGAGAATTACATCAGTGCTATACTCTGTACATAGATATAGATATATATATGTATATCAGACTAACTAACTAGTTAGTGGTTAACTATTGTACCTAAGCAGCGCCACAAACAAAGGCTAATCCAATCAATCAATTCAAATCAATTCTACAGAGAGAGAGAGAGAGACTCTATCTGGAATTGAATCCATCAAGTCGCATTGAATTTATCAGGAGGTGGTAAGGTGGCAGTCGTATCCGGTATCTGGTATCTGCATACTTGATGCGTACTCCGTACAGGAAGAGATAACGAGTAGTTACAATTATAATAATATGTAGCGGTGAACGCCACCTCTGATCTACCTAACTAACTAGCTATCGTGCAAGTAACCAACTAACTAACTAGTGGAGGGTTTAAGGTTGGTGGTAAAAAAAATTCGAGATATCACGCGAGACAAGAGTGGATTTTGTTCTAGATCTCAATTGCATCCAGATAGCGCGATAACCACAAGAAAAAAAAAAAAAAAAAAAAAAAAAAAAAAAAAAAAAAGAAGAATCTTGAAGAGGGGCGTGTGGAGAGCTAATAAGGTACATGAATGAAAAAAAAGTAAATATTCCACAAAACCAATTACATTCTCGGCTTCTTCCATGTGGGTAAGTATGTACTAGAAGTAGATGCCGTACTCCGGATAACTAACTAGGACCTGGTACTCCGTACTGGTAGTTAGTTCAGTGACAAGTCAGGGTTCAACTAGCGAACTGCGAGCTCGTCCGTGATTCTGATAGTGATGATGTGATGATGGCTAGTGGACGGGATTCCTAGGTAGGCAAGTGTTCTCCGAGTTCACGGTTCACTCGGTCGGAGTCTCACTCTCCTTGCTATAGGTAGTAGTATTTTCCCGAGTGATTTTTGATACTGGGATAGATAGCGTAAGGTAGGAGGAGATCCACTTGGTTACCCCTTGGGCAGCAAAGTATCTATCCGTAATCTACTAAGTACCTACGCCGTGCACTACCGAGTATGCACCGGTGAGTGAACAAAACCGACCCTGGCATATTGTATACCACCACGCGCAATCTGAAACCAAGGAAAGGGGCTGGGATATTAGAAATGGAGACTTGAGTGACAGATCTATCTCTGTACATTTGCAAGTTGACTCCGCTAAGAACAATCTAGCGACCTAGATATAGGAGATAGGGATACCCTCCAGTGTATACGGATCGAACTGTTGTGTTCCTGTTTTGTCTATTTTTACTCTCTTCTCTTCACTAGTGACTACAGTACCAGGGCCCGGTAAGTCTACCTGGCCTAGGTACGGAGTACAGTTCCTCGGATGGACTAGGGTTGACTACCTAGGTAGAGACTTGTCTAGATTCTCTGTGGCGCGGTTCGAGTCATTGAGTCATGAAAATGCCCTAGTTAACTAACTGTAGCGTAGTAATATCTATCTGGTCCAGAGCAATACAAGGAGACAGCGAATTGGACATTTTCCCGCCGATTCAGCATGTGCATACTTCCTAGAATGTCTGTTCCCGTACAGAGTACTCCGTCCGTAGACTTAACAATGTAAATGGAAGACGTATGGATGTGGATAACCCGGGATTTACTGTCAATGATAAGATATCAACAAATTTCCCGGTAGGATACGGAGTACTGGCTTGAGATTACGGGATTTGTATCATAGACAGGTAGACTCGGGAGGAAAAAAAAAAAAAAAAAAAAAAAAAAAAAAAAGAATTCTGCGATTTGGTCAAATTCCAGCTAAACAGTTCGCCTGACAAGGAAGAAGAAGAAGAAGAAGAAAATATAAGCTCGGATCCACTAGTACCAGGTATAGTCAACCTCTGGGTTCCGGCCTTTTTTTTTTTTTATCATCACCCCGAACGTGTTAGAGTATTCTAGCCTTCTACTCCGTACTGTACCTAGGTACTGGACTGGCTCCAGTTTCGGATCCTTCTAGACTATTTCCGGGTGAATGAATTTGCAAGATCTATACCAGGACGGCGTGCCAGGCCAAAGTATTCAAGTTCTTCGAAATATCGCCGTAGAAATCCCTAATTACACTGTAAGTAATCCCAGACAAACCAAAAGGACACATACATCCGCCGGGTCGGCTATCGCATTTTCCCCGGGTGTGACGGTGAGGGCAGAGTGCAGGATTCCAATTTCCCTGTTCCCGTTATCCTCTCTCTGCAGAATTAAGTATTGGTCCCTGCGTTGTCGCCGGTCTCACCGTCATCCTCGGCAGCACAGCTCAGGCCCTGCTGGATCCGTGACTGAGTTGTACAAAGGTATAGGGAGAGAAAAGACTTTGGGACTAGTCGGCCGTGCCGTTGGAGTACCTATCTAGGCTGGGTTCTGGCTCTGGCTCTGGCTCTGGCTCTGGCTCTGGTGGTGGTGGTGGTGGTGGTGGTGGTGGTGTGTGCCTGGATCAAGCCGCGTGGGTGATTGTGAAGAGTAACTTACTAAGATTCTTGAGCCATGGAGAGTAAACCCCCGTACGTTGGCAACGGTCCCAGATAACAACTTGAACCAACCATATGGTGGAACATTGTTGGTGGTGTAACAAAACAGGACACGCACGCAATTTGGCCACCTGAAGCTGTGAGTCGTTGACATCATAGCAGGGTCAGAAGAGGCGGACGATCAGGCTCAGACTCAATATCTAAAAATGATGCAAAGTATTGTTCAAGAATAGCAAGGGGAGGCAAGGCGATAGGACTACATGGCGGCGTACGCACTCCACACTTGGGCGTTATGTGGGCGGACGGGAGGCTCTACAAATGCTGGACTCGTCATAAGTCACGCACCGGTTTTGATATATAATAGTGGGGCAGCCATTATTAAATTCTGCCTATCATGTAAATCACGTAAATCATGTAAATCAGGATGATCGAGAGAAGGGCCACAGGTGAAGCCGCGCCATATTGTTCTGGATTTCTTCTGTTTTGAGGGAGTTCATTTAGAATTCAAGCCATGTCCGACCACTTGAGACAGCTTAATTACGGAAATGATGGACTAGGGGGACGGTTCTGAAACTAGAGAGTTGGGCCGTTTTCCATGAATCCACAAGAGATATGGCAGAAACTCTGTAAATCAGAGTCTGTGCTTGGTATACAGCGTATCTAGTAGCTAAGTTGTAACTATACAAAGTATGTTGTTAGGGTTGGTTGAAATTAAGTGGATAAGATCATCCGGCATCTCCCAATCAGGCCAACCGCTGCAATATCATGAATGATGGACTTTACCGTTATAACTCGGTATTCGGGATTAACCACTCCTAATTCATTTCACGAGCATTAATGATACTGGATGTAGATCTTGGGACTTGAAGCGCACAGCAGGCAACGTAATCCTTGGTTGATTTGAGCTTCGGGTATGTTATTTATTCGCAATCTCGATGATCATCAGGGACCACCATTATTGCATATCCTGCAGGGGTTATTATCCCAGGTATCCTCCTACAGTCCGAGAAGAGTTGTGTTTTGATGAATTCGTAATCAGTGCTGCACCTTCAATTCTGACTTGCAGCCTTTAGTTCCAGAGGCTTGATCCAATACCAACCTCACCTCCTGAGCGGGATTCTCCCGGTTTCACTCGCTGCCACTTCCTAGGTAGGTATATTCACTTGTATCTCTTGTGGTAGTCTTGTACTATCATTACTTTAGCAGCGTAGAGACCAAGAATTCAAAGTTGACCCACTTCTTTGCTTCTCCCGTTGGCGATGAGGTGGGTGATCCCGATGAGCACAAGGATAGGATAACTTCCAAGTACCCTCTCGGCATTCAATATCCAATTGAAGTAGCATGAGTGAAAAAAAAAAAAAAAAAAATTGTCTAGAACAAAGGTTTAGCTTCTCCTCGTAAAGTGTCCAGGCCATTAATAATACCTAAGCTGTAGTAATAACAATCACAAGTCATCCCTGGAATCAATTGCTGCTGACGGTCCAATACGGGCGCTAAAACAGCTGGACTGATAAAACCTGATCCACTTGGGATTTTGCCTCTTGAGATAAATCAAATTAAAAAAAGAAAGAAAGAAAGAAAGAAAGAAAGAAAGGTGAGAAAAGAAGCAGAAAAGAAGAAAAATGACTTGGAATTGTTCGTCAGAGATCTGTCTGTTACCATGCATCCAGTTATTTTCAGAAGAAAATCCAGCTAGTTCTTGGCTATACTGGTTCAAAAGAAAAAGGAATGAAGATAATAATAATAATAATCGAAAGGAACAAAGCTGAACCAGAAACAAATAGTGATAGCTTCGATTTCTATCTATACCTTTGTCTCTCCCTGTGTCTCTCCCTCTCTCTCTCTCTCTCTCTCTCTCTCCTCTCCTATGTACACACTCTCTCTATAATCCAAGTAACTCCTTTTTGGCCACGGTGGTACCGGATCGTGGGTCCCGTGGAACCAGTTCCGTCTGATTCTCTAGTCGTAAATAGCGATGATGGTCAGAAAGATGCTTGGGCACCGGTCTCTAATTTCTAGGGTTGGGTGTTACCCTACTTTCAAGTTCAGTTTGTTCTTCTGTAACTTGTTTTGAAATTGAAAATTCGACAGAAAGAAAAGAAAATCAAATCAAATCAAATCAAATGAAATGAAATAGAAATTCCAAAAATTAATTTAGTGTTTTAATTCTTCTTAGTTTAGGCCGTTATGGATCACTAGAAAGGTCTGGACAGCTGCAAACAGTTCCAGGCCAACTGCTCACCTGGATATTTTTCACTGCAATCGATTATGATGTTGGGTCCTCCCCCACCAGTGATTCATACTGCTGCTCGTTATTATTCCTGATATCAGCTGTTGCTTTTCCTCTCCTGTTTCTCCCATGCTGATTTATCATGGTGGCGAACCCTCTCGGACTGCTCTGATACAAATCTACTTCTGTCCTTCTTCATCCCCCTCTTCCTCACTTCAGGCAAATGCCTGCTGCTGGCTGTCAATTCTCAGGAGATATTCAGGAGATCTCCAGGAGATAAAAACAGAATCACCAAAAGAATTCCATTTCAAATTACTCCGTCAGACCCCCTCTACTACCGCCTTAGTAGTAGAAGTAGGAGCCGCTACACAAGATCGTGCAGCTTCATTTCTTCATATGATCACGGTGGTGTGCACACCAACTGTCATTGGATCTCTCTGTCTCTTGTCAGGACAGTTCTCTTCATTGACTCGGCTTCTTTTATCTATCAGACGACTCTTTTCTCCCTGCCTTTCGAATACTTGAGACCTGACTTGGGTGGCCAACCTCATTCCTCTTTGGGAAAACAATATCCCCGGGATCTTCGCTATCTCCAACAACCTCCTTTCGTCCCTTTCCCCTCGTTTGGGTTATCTTGCAGCAGCATCTTTTTGACTTTTTACTTTTTTCTTCTTTTCTCCCCTTAACGCTTAAGGATACACCAATTCTTGACTATGTATCCGTGACGTATCTTCATTCTTTGGAGCGGGCCCTTTTACCCCTTCCAACCTACCTGTCCGACTGCTGCTTCCCCGGTGATTGAGTCGAAGGGTACCGCTACACCCTTATTCCACCCGTCTGTGCCTCCCTCCGTTGGTGATTTTTGGTGCTTGGCACAAATTCTACGAGGTTCGTCTCCATGAAACCCCATTGTGACTCTCACATGGTCCCTTGGGTCGTCCCCATATATTGCTACATGTCTGACACAGATGTGCAGTCCACAAGATACAGAAAGCCCCCAAATCTCTCAATTACACACCAAAACTAAAACAGGCAATAATAATAATCTTAATCTTAATAATAAGAGGGGTCTTTACCCCAGACAATCAAGAGTTCCCCCCCCCCCCCCCCCAAAAAAAAAGAACAGGAAAGAAAAAGAGGTAGCACAGATATCACCCCAGAGTTCCGGTCCCGTAAGGGAAGCTCAAAAAAAAAAATGGCTGGCGGTTATTTTGATCTACCGATATCTTCCTCTTCCAGGCGATCAAGCCTTACTGATACATCTGGAGGAGACAGCAGAAGTCCCCCAGGGCCGCGTGTACCTCCTGCTTCACCCCTAGTGACCCCCAATGAGGGTTTCCCAGAACGGCCGATGGAGCCTGGCGGAGCCCAGGGCAAGCATCGGAATGCAGGTATTCTCAAGAGCGCGAACCGTGTCAAGTTCACAGTCAGTGAGGCAGGGATTCATGAGAGCCCGGTCCTATCAACGTCACAGGTCCGGTACGAGGGAAGGGGCTCCTCATTGCCACAAAGGCCGTTGCCCATCGCCAACATTCCTTCGTCAGAGAGAGTATCGGCTGAACCCCACTCCTTACCCTTAGTGGATATCGGCTCCAGCTACCCTGCGGGGGTCACAGGTCATTCGAGGGTTAGCTCTCCGGGGATCGCTGGAGCTGATGAAGTCAATAATGAGAAGGGTAGGGCTATCCATTCAGCACAGGAGAGAGCCCAGCGACTGGCATCCCTTTTGGGTCGTTCCAAGTCCCCCAGCTTGAGCCCGTGGCCGAGCGTGCCGTCATCTATTGCATCAACTCCCACAGAGGTGTCTCAACCTATAGAGGATGGCGACGACATTCCCATGATAAAGCTCCCTGAAAAGCAATACGCCGACTGTTTTGACGAAGACGAAGAGTATGATCTAGTTGATGGACAGCAGCAAACCCGCACCTCTGAGGCTCACCATCTCGTACAACAAATGACTCGCAAAGATTTTAACGTTTTAAACCGCATCCGTGCTCCATCCCCTGGACTCCGGTCGGGACAGGTTACCCCCATCGAAGAAAGGGACCCTGATGCTTACGTGCAGCGCCCTACCCACTACCGCGGCGGTATTCTCTCCTCCCTCCTGAAACTCTACGAACAACCTAGCAGCTACCCGCGCGGCCGTTATGGACACTCCCGCCATAGTAGCTCTGGGGATCTAACTGGACGCGGCCTCTCCCCGGACCCGGGCTGGCGTTTCCAGCGCCCGAGAAAGTGGTATGAGAAATCCCCAAGCCAGTCCAACACCTCCCTTTCCGGCTCGACCGCCAAAAACTCGACTAGCTCGCCCATTGCGATGCTCAAGCGCTCCCGCAGCAGTGGTGCGGTCCCCGGAATACCCAAGCGGTTGGGTAAGCCACAGCTGGAAGACGAGATCCGAATCACCGTTCACATTGCCGAACTGCTCTCCCGTCAACGATATCTGATCCAACTCTGCCGGGCCCTTATGAAGTATGGCGCCCCTACACATCGGCTGGAAGAGTATATGAAGATGACTGCTCGCGTACTCGAGATTGATGGGCAATTCCTCTATCTTCCAAGCTGCATGATCATATCTTTCGATGATGCATCTACCCATACCACCGAAGTGAAAATGGTCCGCTCGGCCCAGGGGGTTGACCTAGGGAAACTTTCCGACGTGCATGTCATCTACAAAGAAGTGATCCATGATGTGATAGGGGTTGAAGAGGCCATCCAGCGGCTTCAAGAGATCATGAAGAAGAAGAACAAGTACCCCGTGTGGGCTCTCATCCTCCTTCATGGGCTGGCCAGCGCGTCTGTTGGCCCCTTTGCCTTCAATGCTAGGCCTATCGACATGCCTATTGCATTCTTGCTTGGGTGTCTCCTGGGCATCCTCCAACTCGTCCTCTCGCCTCGATCCCACCTATACGCCAACGTCTTTGAGATATCCGCCGCCGTTCTGACCTCCTTCCTTGCGCGGGCCTTTGGAAGCATCCGGTACGACGGAGGGCGATTATTCTGCTTCTCTGCTTTGGCTCAGTCTTCTATTGCCCTTATCCTCCCTGGTTATATGGTGCTGTGTGCCAGTCTGGAACTGCAGTCACGCAGCATTGTGGCCGGCTCTGTCCGCATGGTCTACGCGATCATCTACTCCTTATTCCTTGGATTTGGCATCACAATTGGTACCGCAGTCTACGGCCTGTTAGACTCCGATGCCTCCTCCGATTACACCTGTCCTGCCAGTCCAATAAAGAACGAATACCTTCAACATTTCCCCTTCGTCATCGTCTTCACTTTCTGTCTCGCTGCAATCAACCAAGCAAAATGGAAGCAAATGCCCATGATGCTGGTCATCTCATTTGCCGGATACGTGACCAACTACTTCGGCGCAAAGCGATTCTACTCCAGCACCCAGATATCCAGCGCCCTAGGCGCCTTTGTGATTGGTGCAATCGCAAACTTGTACAGTCGACTCCGCCACGGATTCGCAGCAGCAGCCATGCTCCCGGCCATTTTCGTCCTCGTTCCGTCTGGCCTGGCGGCGAGCGGCTCATTGATCTCGGGTATAGCCTCTGCAGAGCAAATTACCTCCCACACGACGCCTTACTCTGTCGTGGCCAACGGTACCCAGGGCTTTGTCGATGCCGCCAAGAACATGACACAAAGCTCCTCTCAGAACTACCAAGGGGTGGTCTTTGACATTGGCTATGGAATGGTCCAAGTTGCTATTGGATTCACCGTGGGACTGTTCCTCGCTGCCTTGGTTGTTTACCCACTAGGCAAGAAGCGAAGCGGACTCTTCGCTTTCTAAAAAAAAACCTTTATTATTGATTTCTGTCTTTCTTTTTTCTTTCTCATTTTACTATATCACACCTCGTGTCTGTTTGTCTTTGTCCTGATTTTTTTTTACGGAAGCGGGTTGGATTAGTCATGTTATTCAGCGTGGTTTTGGATGATTTGATTTGATTTAAACAACGCATTTGTTGAGTCCCGTATATTCCCATAACCTTTCTTTTCATTTCTCCTTTTTTATGTTTGGAGTGAGTAGGGTTAGTTTTTATATTCTTGCATATATATATATATCCATCTTTCTTTCTTTCTTTCTTTCTTTCTTTCTTTCTTTCTTTCTTTCTTTCTTTCTTTCTTTCTATTTATCTATCCTCAACTCATTCTCCATCTCACATCTACAGAGGCTTAGTTTATTCTTCCTGGTTTTGACTGAATCATTCTTCCTACCACCAATGAACTCGTATTTACTTTTCTTTACCTGAACTAGCAACAACTTTCGTTCATCCATCCATTCATTCATTCCCTTCCTCCTTTCTTGTTCCTGCCTTGTTCTGCTCTATTTTGCCTCTTGACTCGGTTTATCCTTTTATCTGTCTTTTTGTCTTGACCTTGACCTTGACCTTGACCTTTATTGATATGATATATCATATGATATGATACGACAACGGCATTGATTTCAAGCACCCTCAGCGAAATCAAAACAAAAGACCATCCCATCATCCCTCATCCATCAGTCCCCTCTCTCTATTGATTACATTGAAGTATTAGCATCAGAAACTCTTTTCAATGTCATTCCAAGAAAAGAAAGGCAGTCGTTGAAGCCGTCTGAAGTTTTGTTTTTTTTGTTTTCTTCTCCCTCAGAAAGCCTGCAGGTGGCTGCGGGATTAGGGCTAGGCAGACATACATACATACATACATACATACATACATACATAACTCAACTTGTCCTAAGTAAGTACTTCCATAAGTAAAGTATCTATAGTTATACAGAGAGGTACGGAGTAGAGTTCAAAACAATTGACTTACTACTTACTTACGATGGGAGGGGAGATATTTTATGTTCGCGTTCACATTTAACTTTCTTGAATGAATTGGGTCGGTTAACGAGATTATCTTGGTATCTTGTATCCCAGATCAGCTAAATATGATACTGAACTAATTGTACCCTACGCTCCAATTACATGAATCGACTCTCAAAAACCAAGTAGAATTCAGGTACATACCCACATACCAGATGTACGTACATATAAAAAGAAGTGAACTTGGAAGCCTGCGCCGAGGCTTGAGAGAAGGACAGGTTTTGAGGAGAGAACGACCCGAGGCCCACCACTAAAGTTAATAATAAAGAATGCCGCTAGACAAAACTCGAACTGATCGGAAGGGGGTTTTATGTCATATTTTTTTTTTTTTAATTTTGATTCATCTTTCATCAATCAATCTGTCGATAAAGAGTAGAATAGTAGAGTACGAGAAAACGTGTGTGAGAATGGAAAGTTCAAGAATGAAAAGAAACAATGAAGACACTTCAATCCATCCAGCCAGGACTAATCAGACAAAAGGCACATTAGCCAATGCCAAGTCCTGGGTCTTGAGTGTTCCAAACCCAGTTTGCAAGGAGAAGGGAAACTGGTAAGATCTGTCTCAAGATCCCATCATCATTTCAGAAAAAAAAAAAATCGCATAAGTCGTGCGGAGTTCGGATGGCAAAAAGTGCTGTAGGTGCCTTTGTAGAAAGAAAGTAAGAAGGGAAATTTCAAAATCAGAAAAAGAAACAGTGACAATCATTCCAGTGTGCAGTCCGTTACGTTTCAGTCATATTATGTACGACGTTCGCATTACATGATAGGAGTCTTGCGCTTTTCAGCGCTCGACAACACAAGCATTGGGGTCTTGCGCCTTTCCGTACCCTGAGCTACCGTCTTCTGGCCAGCGACGACAGCAGCTACTGAAGGTGTGCCTGTTCGGGGGGAAGCCTGGTCCGCGAACTTGCCTCCAAAGAAAGAATCTTCGCTAAGAGGGGTGGTGTTAAACAGACTGTCCTGGGACTTGCGCTCCCGCGAGGATCTTTCCTTTCTCTCAGAGCCGATAGCACCATTAGCAGCAGCACGCAGGCTACCCAAGCTTGGTTTGCTCGAAAGACTGCCACTGCGGACTGTAGCATCATCACCATCTGAAAACGTGAACTCCTTCTCGCTTGCAGGTGTGTTGGTGCCGCCACTGCTGTGTCCTAGGCTCCGAGTCTCTCCGCGACGTTCAATTCCTGCCCGCACGAGGTTATGAACAGCACGGCGGCGCTGGCGGGTGGCAAAATTCTTGCTTCCCTCGTACTTCGAGGTAGGCTTAGCAACCAGTTCTTCCAAAGAGGGCGGGCCGCGAGGCTGTCGAATAGGGTGCTCTCCGGCGCGGCCCTGACCAGGCCCAAACGTACCAGTAGCAGGAGTTGCAAGGGGGGCAGTTTTGGGGCCAGAAGTGTGAGCGCTACTATTTGCCTTATTGGTGTCAATCCCAGTCTTGGGCCCTGGACCGAAGGACGTGTTCTTCTTGTGGGTTCTGCGGAAAGCATTTGCAGATGGAGGAGGAAGAGGCGAAATGTCATCTTCGAGACAAGGGCTGCTGTTCGAAGAGGAACCCTCCGACAAGTGCACAGGAGACTTGGATGACTCGGGAGGCGGAGAGACCTCAGCTCTGAAAGGTGGAACATGCATGGCTGGAGATTGAATCTCCTCGTCTTGTTGGTAAGGGGGCGAGAGATCCTGCTGGACGCTGTTGTCATAGACATAGTTCAACTGGCCAGTCAAAGGGTTGTAGACAGAGTAAAGCCCCGGCTGACCTGAAATGGGCTGCACCACGGGCTGTACGCCCTGCTGGAGTTGCTGCTGATAGAAGCCCATGCCCGGGACGGAAAGAGGGGAATAGTCTTGCTGCTGGCCCATGCCCACTCCGAGGCTCAGACCTTGGAACTGTTGTGCGGCAGCAGTGACGCTAATCAATTGCTGTTGCAGACGCTGCTGCTGGGCTGCGAGGAATAAGTTCGTAGACATCAGTTCCGCGTAAAGACTCTCATCCATAGGCAAGTCGCTAGCGATCTCAATTGCCGGAGGTGCGAGCACCTGCTCCGGCAAGGTGTACATAGGACGACCCATGTTCACGTCCAGTCCCTGATTCATAGCTACGGGGTATTGTGGGAAACCAGTTCCCGTCGCGGTTTGTGGAATGTTGCGTTCGGAAGTGCGATTGGAGGGGTTGCCATACCGATCTCCCTCCAGACCGAGGTGCTGCCGGCGCTGATTGGCAGAGGGTACGGTAGCGGACTTAGGAGCAGTTCTCAACCCTGCCAGGAGGTGTGAACGGCTGGTCCGTGGAGTTGCAACCGTTGCAGAATGCTGGGATTCATCAATGGTCGAGATGTGCGGAGGTGGCACACTCAGTCGTTTGACATTGGGGCCTTTTCTCCGGGATCCGAAACTGGACCCGGGGACACCCAGCGAAGTGCCATTATTGAAAGACGAATTGTAGGTCATTTGAGCAAGACCGCCAGTGTCCATACTCGTAATTGTGAATGTTGGTGTATAATGCTGTATGTGCAAGAGGCGAATAAAAACAGTCGTGGTATCTCAAATATTCAAAAGGCGTGACGCAGCCGGTAGGACAGGAAAAATTTCGCCGAATTAGAGTATTACGAGGGTCTCGAGGGATAAAAATGGATCACCAAGAATTGACAAACTCCGGTCCTGGACTTATTATGCAACGAGTGGAGGAGAACGACTTGGGTCTTCGATGACTGTAAGAGCCAAAACAGGCTTTCGTTGATGTTAGTAAGGATTGAATGCGAGTCGAGTGGAAGAGCAACATACTTGCAGAAATGAAGGAGAAGAAGAATTAATAACCAGGTGTACAATAAACAGATGAAAGTGTCCAAGTTCAAAATGTGCGAGGCAGCTTCGTCTGGCGAGCAGAAAATGAAGGATAGACGGCAGACGCGACCGGACGTTGATCGAGGAACCGGGTGACTTTAGAAGGAAGTAGCGGTCGGGGTCTTTGAGATTAAAGAGGGGTGATAAGAAAACAACAACTGAGAGATGCTCCGCAACTCTCAAAAGGTAGTAGAAAGTGATGCTGATATGAAAATGATGCAAGAAACTGAAACTCAGAGTGTCCAGACAAATAACAGCTGGATGAAGGGGGAGAAGAGCCGCTTCCGCTCTGCTGTAAGGGAGGAGTGATAGGGTTCGTCTTCCTCTTTCTTCAACTATGTAATAAATTTTTTATTACTATTTTCACTTTTTCAATCCTTTTTCCTTTTTTTCCTCTAAAATTTCCGCAAAGTGGGAGTGTAAAAAAAAAAAAAACAGGCGAGGAAAACACGAAGGATTCTTGACGCCGGGGGTTGGGTTGGGTGCGTTCGGGTCTCGGCGCGTTGGTCACCTTTTTTTTTCACTTTTTTTCTTCCCTTTTCCGGGCCCTTTCTTTCTTATTCCCCGTGGTCTGAGGGAGCAGCGGGATAGAAGAAGAAGGCAGAAAACTTTTGATTTCTTTTATCGATTATGATTTCGCAAGATGGAAGATGAAAAACCTCTGCAGAGAACGAGAGGGGATAGGCGATGTGGGAAGTTGGAAAAGAAAGTAGGGGGGGGGGGGGGGGAGAAATGATATTGAATTAAGAAACGAAAAAGAAGGGGCGGAAAGAATCGAATAGAGGATTAGATGGAATGAGGTTGATTGAGGAGGTAGAAAAGAAGAAGAAGAAGAAAGGGAGTAGGAACCCAAGGGAAGAGAAGGAGGAGAGTAAAGAGGAAGAAGGGAGAGAGAAAGAGAGAGAGAGAGAGAGAGAGAAAGGAAGAAACTAGTGTTTGGGGACGGAGGGAACAAGGATGGTTGCCGGTTCCTGAAGGCAGAATACTAACAGCTACAAATCAGGCATAACACTCAATCTTAACAAGAGGAACTACTCCATACTCTACTAATAGTGTAGATACTAAGACCAGGATGGAAGATGAGAATAATTAAACTGATCTTCTTCTTCTTCTTCTTCATCTGGGCTGAAAGAAAGACTCCGAGAAAAGAGCGTCCGCTATGAAAAGAGATCAATCAATCAGTGCCTGAGACATCCACCTAGCTGAACTGGGAAAAGGACGCAGGCTGACGGACTCCCAATTGGGTTTAGTCGACGGGGGGGCTTTGGCCACTTTGATTGCCTGAAAATACAGGATCTCTCTCAGGTCCCAGCTCCGAGTTTACTTGCGGCATACAGAGAGAAAGAGAGAGAGAGAGAGAGAGAGAGAGAAAGAGAAAAAGAGAGAGACTAGGTAGGAAAATACTTCAGGATGGATTTGAATCTCTCTTTTCTTATACAGAATCCAAATAAACCCACCTTTGCAAGAGAAAAACAAAGAATCATTCAGGAGAACCTACCTACGTTAATTAATTACTCCCAACTTATTTCAAACTACCTACATACACTAACTATACAGTAGTCACAAAACAGCCGCCCTGCTCAACCAATCCAAACCCCTAGGTAGCTAGAATCATCCATTTCATGCAGAGAAATAACCCTCTTCCCCCACCCCAGTCAAGAGACGTAATAATCCTTCTACCTGGAAATAGCACCAAACCCGACCAATCTCCTACCCTACCTCCTCTTTCCCTTGTTACAGTATGTACATCCTCGGTCCCCTGGCCCATGATGATTCTTTTTCCCTGCAGGCTGAAAACTATCCATGCCTTTCTGCCCACCTAAACCGCTACCCGCTTTAGTAGCGGTTTAGGTGGGCAGAAAGGCATGGATACCCCAGCTTAGCGCCCTTCAACGTGGCTTTTCTACCCCCCTCCCCCCCCAAATTCCTGGATGAGATTCGTCCCAGGAACCGCTGTCCTCTTGACTGGATATGAAGTGGGGTCTGTTCAGAAGAGCACTGTAAGCTCTATTAACTCCAGTCTCCAGGTGACTCCAAGGCACGGGCCTCTCTCTTCCTTTTTGTTTTCTTTTCTTTTTTTTTTTGAGGGAGGGGAGGAGGGCTACAGAGTACTTATCATTGGATCTGCTGGGTAATGCAGCGCTATCCTGCTAGTTCCCTGTACGTCTACCTGAATGCAGCCCGGAAAGAGTCATCGGGTTGGGCGGGCGCTGTTCCAAGTAGTACTCTAGTAAGCATGTCACCTCATAAAAACCAGTTACGTACAGCAATTAGTGGGTTTCAAGGTTCCGAATTGTCGGATACGGAGTACTAGGATGATGAGCTCATGATGCTGGAACTAGTAGGATTGCATAACACTTTGCTATGTACAGTATAAATTTACAATCCCGCCCGCCATACATGGCGATTAGACTAGCCTGTGTTGCGTTGCAAGCTTGCAACCTGGTCCACTCCCTCCGGTTTGGCGTCCTTTGGGAGATATACAGGCAAGTGGATATCGGACACAACACAATCCATAGTGCAGAGGGGTATGAAAATAATTGGGTATCTGTTGACAAGACAGAATATAGTCTCAAACCGCCCGCCAGAAAATGATATAAGCATCGATATTAGGCAAAACAAAAGGGCATCCAAGACGGACAACAAGGGCAAAGAGATCAAAGGTGAAAAGGGAAATATATGGATAGTTGCATGTGAGTGAGACAGAGAGAGAGAGAGAGAGAGAGAGAGGTCATGTAGCGTCGTGAATCTGAAGGCCAGAAAAAAAAAGCATTCCATCCCAGACTAAGCATCCACAGATACTATCGGACCAGGAAACGACAGTGCGGTTGGTTCTTTATGATCTGCATCCGGGGACTCCATTCCTGTGCCCTTACCATTCATACGGTCAAACTCGAGCGTCTCTGCCAACTCAGCTGCCATAGGATCTAATTCTTCCTCCTTTAGCCCAGTGGCCAGGGCTACAAGCTTGCGATGGACGTCAAACTTCGTGCTGACGCCTGCATCAGCGGTCTGTTGAGCTAGATCCTTGACTGCTCTGCGCCTTGCTTTTTGCTCAAAGCACAGAGTCCGAGCTAACTGAAAGGTAGTCAAAAGCTTGCTCGGATCAGTCGGCGCCAAAGGAGTGCCCTGCGTCGGCATGGGTGTAGACGCAATCCGCTCTTTTAGGCGAGCTTCTTGAATCTGTTCTAGAAGTGATTCGTAATTGGCCCTCAACTGCTCATACCGGCTGACCTGTGCGTCGCTCGGCTCCTCTGCGGCCTCCTTGGCAGCCAAGGCCACAGACTGCTTTTGAATCTTCTGTCGATCCAGCTCCAGCTGCTCATATAGGGCTTTTGGGTTTGCAACATCATCCGAATCTTGCTGGTTGGCCTTCGCGCCGCCATAATTGACGGCAAGCTTCTTGTTCGCTTCGGTCAGGATCACTCCGATTTTAGAGAGTAATTGTGCGGTGACAGGAGAAGTATCATGCGGTAAGGCACTAGACTGTGGATCAGGGTTTGTGGGAGCAGTTAATTCGCCATCGACTGGATCATTTCCCATAGTGATGGACGAAGGAGGAGGTGGGATATCCCGTTCAGAAGGATGTGCCCGTTGGATAATGCCCGTGGCTGTTTCGCCTTTCGTATTCACGAGGTCACCGGCTCTTGGACAGCGTAAAAGAAGCAGCTCGACAAGTCGAAAAGCCCCGTTTCGAGCAGCAATCAAGGCAGCAGTATCTCCGTTGGAATCTTGACAGGACAGCAGCAAGTCAATTTCCTCAGCGGAGCAGGTACTGCGTAATCTCTCTAGTGCCACCTCACAATAGTATCGAGAGCTTTTCCATTTGCCTTTGCTTCTAGTAGTTTCAGATATGTGGTGGAATAAAGTAGCACCAAACCAGTCCCGAAAGGAAACAGTATCCAAAAGCAGGTCTAGTAAGGCTGGGAAAGTCCTTTTCTCATAGTTGTTCGTGAATAAAACGGCGCGAACTAAGGGTGTCTCTCCGTGGACCGACAGGGCTTTCATGTCAGCCCCCCTAAGCAATAAGTCTTTGACAATCTCCAAATCACCCATAGCACATGCCCAGTGGAGCGCGGTATTCCCAGAATCATCAATCGGACGATCCACTTGAAAGTTGGTCGGGGGTTGGGGAGGAGGAACCCGAGTTGCCTCTGGCGCATCTCCAACTGTCATAAAATAATCCAGGAGCTGATCTCCATAGAGAATATGCTCTTGTTCGCTAATTGACATGGCTGAGACTTCGTGCAATCCCCGCTTTCGCTTCCTCGACGAGTATGTGCCATTTTGAGATATTGACACCATTTCCTCATCCGCTATCATGGATGATGATTCTAGTGTCGCCTGTTCAATGGATTCATCTTCATCAAATCCGGCACTAATCTCATATTGTTCATGAGCGAAACTTGGCGGTCCCATATTCCGACGAGGTTTAACAGCAGTGAAAACTTGTTCATTTGCGGCTTTTTTGTTGTTTCTCTGAGCCCTTGGCTTTGAAGCTGCCGTCGTATGTTTCGGTGCCGGGGGGGGGGTCCGATCACCTGCTACATAGTCGAATATCGGACGAAGTTTATCAATTATGTTATTGCGCTCGGCAAGCATGCGGCCTTCTGGAAGAGGTATCCATGTTCCTATGCAGAGAGTAAGAAAAGAGCGTACATAAAAAGGTAAAGCATCAGTATTGCATACCTTGATATTTACCGTAGCCGCCTTGCACCTTCTCATGGACCCCTTTCTGCACCTCACGCTCGAGGATGCGTGTTCTCGCCGGCTTGTCAAACCCTGCCACTTTGAGAATATGAGTCGCATTGATCCAATCATCACCCCGTCTTCGCATAACACTATCGCCATCGATTTTGAATTCATACACCGGGACCTAATTGATTGGGTTAGTCGGCTGATTCAAGGTTTGCACCCAAGACACCCAGTGCAGCGGAATTGGCCATTCACTTGGGCGCAAACGCTCAGAAAGACGACTTACACTACTATAAGTAGCAGAGTAGACATTTGAGAAATCTACCCCCGCCATGATGTGCGTCGCCGTAAGCCGGCTCAATCCAGCAGGTTCCCGAAAGTGGAAGAGGTGGTGTGAACGCGGCTTCGTACTGAACACGAAGGGCCAAGATTCAGTTTCTCCTGGGCATCAACTCTGTTGTATAGCTCTGAGCCCTAGAAGTTTATCGTGATCATATACTGAAGATAAAAAAACGCGAGAACAGCCACAGGTGGCTCGTCATGGGCTCAATGACATCTCAAAAAAACGCGATGATTTACAGGACTGGCTGGGCAAGACGCGCCCTGGACCCAGACCGCGTAAAGTGGAATATGAGGCACTATTCCTATTACGGATAAAGTCACGTGAGATCACATGACCCTTCCGGAAAGGAAGGAACAGCACCGTGACGCCGAATAGCTGCAAACCTCATAGCCGGTAGTTCATCCCCAGAAATAATACCTTTCGTACCACTCCCGCTTCTCAATATGACTGTCGCTGAGTCGGTGAAGAGTGCCGTTGGGCTTGGAGATAGCCAGGGTACGTTTTTCGGTCGCAATTGACAACCTATCCGCAGAGGAGGAGCGGATTTGATCTCTGGGCTTCGAATTTGATATTAACCATATGATTTAGCTGCCTCCCGAGAGGAAATGTCTGCTGCTCGCCTTCCTCTGCAGTACCGCGATTCTTGTGCACATCTCCTGATCCCATTGAACCGATGCCGACAGCAGGAGTACTACCTTCCTTGGAAGTGCGAGGTATGACATGGACATTGAAGTCTACATACTTTTGTTCTTTTTTTTTTCTAGGCTTGTTGCTGACATACTTTCTTCTGGGCATAGAACGAAAGACACACCTACGAAAAGTGCCAATATGATGAATTTAAGAAGCGTGTTGCGAAGATGGATGAGCTCCGGGCTGCCCAGGGCGGTGCGCGGAGCAATTGATACCAATACACCAATACATCAGCAAGTGCATTCAATTCGGACGAAGCAGCGTGTTATGTAAATAGAGATTCAAATATTTGTTTATCCACGGACCTATATTGGCGTTGGGATTGAGATCAGGCTCGTCATGCCGTACTTTTCCACTTCTCCAGGCACACAAACGTTGGCCAATGACCGGCTTTCCTAGTAATCCAATGCTTCGCTACTGGGCAGAGTATAGTCCAAGAGCTCGGAGGGGCTCAAGAGCTGGTGCTACGTGCATGGCTTGATATTTCTGACAAACCCCGGCGTTCTTCTTCAGCTGTGCACCTGATTCGTAGCTTTGACCCAAATTTAAGCTACCCTTAACCAAGTCTACTCCATTACCTATCAATTACTATTGTCACCCACTCTTCACGAACGGTCATACCGGGGGATTCGGAGGCTATACAGACAGGAAGTATAGGGGCATCTCGATATAAATTCAGTAGCGTCTTGCTATATGACTGACTGAGAAGCATCGCTCCCAGGGTGACCCCGCAAGTTCAAGAAAGCCCATGCATATTGAGCTGAATAAAGCAGAACTTCTCTTTGATGCACAACCAGGTACGTAGGCCAAGGCAGGTCTTAAAATAAATCACTCTCAAAGTATCCAGATCTCAAGAAACAATCTCCAAAGCTCTGTTGCGGACCTGGAAACGAACAGAACCTCCAAATCAAGTCCCAATCCGAGACTCGATATAGGCACGTGACAAACGGATACCTAGTTAATCCGCTCCTGTTAGATGCATCACGTCAGCAACTCCGCGCTGCTTAGAAATCGGCGACCAAATTTTGTTCGGCAGAAAAAGCAGAAAAGCGTTATCGCTGATAAATAACAGAAAAAGATGCTAAAGAAGCCCCGCCGCAAATCGCCATGCAAGGTCAACGCTCTACGCCTGATTGAGTCTTCCGCACCGGAGAACCGGCGGGAAACTAAACTACATAAATTGAACAATAGCTTTTGTCAGCATATTTACTCTCCGCACGCCCCTCTTTTCGTCTGTCTCACCTGTTATTAGTGAGGGTGGTGCTTGTGTTGTTCTCTTTTTCCCGTCTTAAGTCCTCCTCCGAGTACCCCTCATCTTTTGCGGGGCTATTGGAAAGATAAATTCTCAATATCCCACCCTTGCTCGCTTTCCAACGCTCTTTTGTCAACGTCGTGACATTCTGCCTACTAGCCGTCCGGGAGTGATATCATGGGTCTCCTGTGCGTTAAGAAACACCTTCCAAGGCGTCAACATTTTCCGAGGCACAAAACCACTGACTTTCCCGGTTCATAGAGCGCTTGGGACGGCCCTTGAGTGGACAGAAGCTAGGAAGCGAGCGGACCAAGTTCGCAAATGGGGGATTGAGGTATCCTTTGCAGTTCTGTCCTAATCTATAAAGTTAATTGCATTGACTCGAAGCAGCAACTCCTGGCGAATTGGAAAAGGGCGAAAGGGAAGGAACGCGACGCCCTCCTATGGGGTGACGAGGTAATTGCCCGTGCTTTTCTTCTTCGAAATCCAAAAGGTCCCCGGACTAACTATCCTAATGTTCACTAGGTCGAATACCTCGTTGTAGCCGTTGACGATGAAACGAAAAAGGCTCGTCTATCGCTAGCCCAGGCAGAGATTCTTAAATCACTGGCTCAGGATGAAGCTCTATGGAAGGAGGGTTCATCTCAGCTTGCTGAGAATAAGGAACAGTGAGTTGACCCATTTGGGGTTCTGCGACAAGATCTAATACTTTATAGCGAGGGCGAGGATCTACCTCACTTCCACCCGGAGTTTGGACGCTTTATGCTCGAGGCTACACCAGGCGCACCTTGGGGAATTGATTTTAAGGATCTGCTTAAAGTTGAGTCGAATATGAGATGGAGGTAATGTTCCGTCCTGGAGAAATTGCCCCGCATTGGCTAACTCTTTTTTACTAGGCGAGAGATCGCAAAGGCGCACATGGCACCTAATGAGTACCCTATCACTCTTACCACATTCCCTAGGCTAGGGTCAAAGGATGAATACATTCAACCATATTACCCCCCATCAGGGCCTGCATTGCGATCACAATTCGTTCCAGACGAAATCGCAAATCCCCACATCAGATTCCCTACATTGGCAGCCAACATCAGGTCAAGAAGGGGCCGTAAAGTGGAATTGAATGTGCCAGTGTTCAAAGACAAGAACACTCCCGAGCCGTTCAAGGACCCAACAGTGAACTATAATCTTCATAATTGGCCAGAAGACGACGATGTCAGGAATGGAGCAGCCAAGGACGGTCATGTTTACATGGACGCGATGGCTTTTGGAATGGGCAGTTGCTGTCTTCAAATCACGTTCCAGGCCAAGAATATGACGGAGGGAAGGAAGTTATACGATCAATTGAGTCCGCTGGGGCCAATTCTTCTTGCACTTACTGCCGGAACTCCGATTTATAAAGGTTTCCTCGTCGACACAGATGTCCGCTGGAATCAGATCGGCAATGCTGTCGACGACCGGACCCGGGAAGAACTTGGTGAAGTTGTAAGGTTGACCGTCTTTAATCATGTGGATTTGAACTGACCAGCATAGCCTTTGAAAAATGACAGGTGGAGGATCCCGAAGTCAAGATACGCGTCGAACTCAACATATATTTCTCAAGACCCCAGGTTGCGCAAGGAGTATCTTGATCCAGATCTAATTGTCGACGAAGATATCAAGGAACGTCTGATGCAAGAGGGCATGGATGAACTGTTAGCAACCCATTTTGCACATCTATTCATCCGCGATCCCATTGTCATCTTTTCGGAAGACCTTGAGGAATTGGATTTAAGCAAAGCCGATCATTTTGAAAATCTCCAGTCAACAAATTGGCAACACATGCGCTTCAAGCCACCACCACCCGAAAAGGCCGATATTGGCTGGAGAGTCGAATTTCGATCGATGGAAATCCAGATGACTGATTTTGAAAATGCCGCTTTCAGCATCTTCATCGTCCTTGTCACACGTGCCATATTGAGCTTCGACTTGAACCTCTACATTCCCATTCAGCGAACTACCGAAAACATGGAGACAGCACATGCCCGTAATGCCGTTCTTGACCGAAAGTTCTACTTCCGAAAGAATCTCTTCTCCCGAAGAGCTCACAGACCATCTCCGCACTCGTCGAGTGGCAGTAATTCCTCGTCAGTCACGTCTTTGGAATATAATACGCCGCCCCCCTCTCCTCCTCTTGGCCCTGTTGAATCCGAGTATGAGCTCATGACTATTTCTGATATCATTAACGGCTCTGAGGATGGGAAATTCCCAGGATTGATTCCACTGGTTGAGTCTTATTTGAATAGCGTCAACGTGGATGTTGAGACTCGATGTTCATTGGCAAGATATCTTGATTTAATCCGGAAACGAGCAAATGGTACTCTTTGGACTGGAGCCAGGTGGATTCGTGCATTCGTCGCTTCTCATCCTGCGTACAAGTATGACAGCGTTGTGTCTGAAGAGATCTGCTATGATCTTGTGAAGGCTGTCGATGAGATGGCGGTAAATGAAGGGCGAAATGGAAGCATTGGGTGGGAATTACTTAGAGGAAAAAGGGATTAACGAGCATATATTTTGCGGATATAGAAATGGGTACACCCCATAGATCTACTCTGCATTTGATATTCGATAGTAGATAGCATATTTATATTTATATCTGATTCAAAGACATCTCATTTCTTTCTCTTCCAAACTGCACCTTCCTAGAGAGACCTATCCCTTTCACTTGCATTGAGCTCAATCTCCACCATTTCCCTCTTATGCTGCTATAATATAGCATCTCCAACATTAATCCTTAGGCTGTGCTACAGAAGCACTATTTTTTCCTCTTCTGTTGGCCGTCGGCATGAATCTGCCAGGCCAGTCACTTTCCATTTTCCATTGAGCTTGTGCAAGATGAAAAGCTCGACACCCACATGATGCACGACTCCGTTTATCTTTGCTCGAAAAGGTGCCCAGACAGCTGCAAGGCTTCCTGAATCGTATATCTTCACTTCAGGGTCCCAGATTCGCTCGTCAATGTCGTGATCGATTTGCGCAACCCGCTCGACGAAAGTGCCAATAGTGCAGAAACGAGGAAGAGTAGGCTCTGGCGGCCATAAAGACATCCCCCCTGCTCGCACGCAGTATTTTTCGAATTCGACTGGACTCTTAGCGCTTATGGCCGCGACAAAACCGTTGATAACAGTGATTATAGAGTCGATTTCAGAGGAGGCTTCTGGAAAAGCCGATAACGACGGACTTGAGGCTGCGGGTGTCCAACGCATTCTGTCGACTCAAGGTCACGAAAAGTGGTTTCCGATGTAAAGGAGCAAGAAGCACTGGTTTTCTCGGTTTCTCTGCTGCTTTACGGCGCATCAATAAAACAACCACCAGTGCTCATATACTCCCCTCAACTCCCTCACGGCCACGGACGTATGACATCCGTTCCTCGTCCCAGAACATTAGCCTCTAATGCAGATTCCCGTAGACTCGCAGGATCGGAATACGACCGTGGAATAGCCCGAATCTCGACCCCGCCTCCTCTTCCCTTGGCCTTCTCGCGACTACAGCTTCGAATTGAGATCTACGAACATTTCATGATGCGTGCAGACATCTCAACCCTTGTATAGCAATGTCCGCAATAAGTTATTAGCTCATATTATACAAAACATGCAGAATTTGCCGCAAGTATCTCCTCCTCAATTCATGTGTTACTGTTGCAGTACTAACTTAGTCGGTTCTAAGCATGTATCACATAAACCACCACCCTCAAACGCCAGTTCATATGAAGGTCCCATGCATGCACAAATTCGATGAGCTTGTGCAACACCACTAGGAACTGGACGCCATAACGATGACATGATTGACTAACCCCGGATTCTTGAGCACAATGTGATATCACAACGATGACAGGACACCGTCAAACCAACCATGATCTTTGCGTCAAAATCGTTCCTCGTCGTCTCTAGTCCCCAGCCAACTGACTTGAGGGCTTCGACCCCTCAAATAACTATCAGAAACGAGTCATGCCGTGTAACAAGTCTCCTGGGTAAAAGAATACCTGCTTTGAACAAGTTTTGCCTTTGTGCAACGAACTAATAATAACTGAAAAGCCTAGTCTTGACAGTATGCCCCCCGCCCCAAAGTCTGTCAAGCATTTTTTTCGTCTACGTCTCATATTTAGCTCTCGATATAGTCTAGAATATCTTCGCCGTATAACAGGATAGGTCTAGAGATTCTACCAGTATACACCAAAGTCCTAGGAAGGAATCCGAGTACTTTTCTACCCACTATAGTATATTTTCTTATTACAATATTTCCTTCCTGAAACCTCTGCGCTCCTGAACTGGCACACACCAGGCATGTCTGCTGCTGTACACTGGACGAACTGGTATGACGATCTGGACACTAGCTATGAGTTGGATAATGCAAATCCTTGTCCGTTGCGATAGGAGACTAAGATTCAACTATGATGAAAATTTATGGGCATCGACTACCTATGTGTACATGCGCCATTCCCTTTGGATATATGTATTTTTGTGGTAGATCTCGCAAATTACATTTTCCTTCAGTTGTAAGCAGAACTTCCCTTTGTCCATCACCCACTCCAACTATCCAACAGGATGCAGTTTCATGCCGGGACACGTCCTCAGTAACCCCTGTAGATTTATCTGCACAGCCATTGCTAAATCCAAATGGTACCTTTGATTAAGTCCATCCAGCTGTAACTAGCTGAGGTACCGGCTACCAGAGAACTTCAATGGCATCGGACGCCTTTCCGTGAAACGCGTTACTTCGCCTACGCAGGACGCCGGTTTAGGAATTGAGCGCAAGAAAATGGACAACCGGGGACAAATCGGATCATAAGTGGTTGCATGTGGCTGACGCCGATCTGGTGAATCGTAATTACATCTACTTTCCTCCCTAGTCCATCCATCCATTCCTCACAGTGTGTCATTTTAATGACTTATCCATCTATCCATCACACCTGGTTGCAGCGGAGTGGTTAAAGCCTAGTAATATATTCTGGGATAGAGAGCATCCCTGAAAAAAAAAAAAAAAAAAAAAAAAGTTCACCTTCTCGTACTTTGCAACAAGAGAGAGAGAGAGAGAGAGAGAGAGTCCCCCCACCCCGGCCCCCTTTCGCTTTTACTCCATATACTCTAGTTAATGCATGTGTCGTACATTCCCAAGTCAAACTGTTGTTTCCCTTTGGCAATCCAAGTGATATATAACTAACTAACTATGATATGATATCTGGCTGACAAGGCACATTCATGATTCCACGGGTGAGACAAATAATCCCCCTCTCCAAGGATAGCAGGGGTCGCGGCTATACAGGGCTTCATGCATACTGACAGCCAGAAGAAGATCTAGCGCATCCCTCATACTGTAAGCTAGAGCGAAACCGTAGTGCAACTCGCATTTCCCCAAAGATTTACGTTCGACTAAAAAATGAGACTCTGGGGGGGGGGGTTAAGGCCGGGAAGTTGTTTGCGCGGGCGGTTCATGTATACCTAGCTAGGTACCTAGATAGACACCTCCAGTAACAATGGTGTCCTCTTAAGCTTTATGAACTGTGACTGCCGCGGGGCTATACGCCAGGGGTCAGTTGATCTATTCTGGCAATGGATACAGTCAAGAAGAACGAGCACGACACGTGGTGGAAAGGGAGGGAGAAGGGGGTGTGGTTGGAGCACATCGACTACGATAGGGTTTGAAACAGAGCCTATAGGTTTTTCAGTTGATGCTTGATAATATTACAAGAGGGTATCCTATATCAGAGATGCCGTATATATACAACCCTGCCTAGTACCTATCTACTGGTACCTAGGTAGTAGGTACTACTTCGGAGGTACCGATCGACAGCGCGCTGGGAAGCGACCGAGACGAATCTCGACTTATTCAAAGACAGATGGATGTCCACGGATCCGATGGTCCCCGATCTGCTTATCCATGGGAATGGAACGGCTGGGACCCATGGAACGCTGATACAGTACAATACGCCAGGAACCCACCAAGAAGCAGTCAATTGGTAATTACGCAAGAACATCGAAAACCGAAAACCGGATCGAAAAAAAAAAGGGGGTACAAAGGGAAAGAAAGAAAGAAATGAGGATATGTGGCTGGTATGGAGTGAGTACATCAAAGCCAGATATCGAAGGAGAGCAAAAGTGAACCTTCAGAGTAGGAGGAGGCTGTCGCCGGGAGGGATCTGCTGCTACCAAAAATGGGAATGAGCGGATTGGTCCACCGAGGAGCGTCAAAAGGCTAGAAGCAAATGCCGAAGCCCCCAACTCCGTGAATCCCGATCTTTACATCCCCCTTAAAAAAAAATTAGAGGCCGAGATGTTCTCTATGGCGGATCAGGGTGTGTTCTTTTGATTGCCGATTTATCCTCCCAGCGAGTCAGTGAGGGTCAAAACGGTGCATCTACATATAGTAGGGTACCTAGTCTCCCGTCCAGTTTCCATGGGTCCGAGTTTCCGTCGGTAGCCCGGGGATCAAAATCTGCTGGGTACAGCCTATAAGAGGACTACGGAGTACCTAGATTAGTAGATTCTCGGGGACAATAATGGAGCCCGTGCCTGTCAAACCTGTCATTTTACCCAGAAGCAAGCCAGGATTCTAAGGTAATTGGACGATCCGGCTCTTGCGCCTCGACTAATTGACACTGTCCAAGAGATCCAATTGTTCTACCTACTACGGAGTACTGCAGTGTATAACTATACGGACTTCCTGATTAAGGTCTCGTATATTAATATCATAGATTGCAATCTAGAATCAACTAGGCTTCGAGAACCCCCAGGTCACCTGGGCAGTCCAGGAACTAGGTAACTTAATCTGATATCTAAGTCTGTTTGGGAATAGCGAGAGTAAGCAGGACGATATCTAACTAATAGCCATTTCAACATTACATCCATCGTTACTTACACAACAAGACCTGGTAAGAGAAACCTTTGGAAGAAACCGTCCGTCCGATACAAATCAACAGTGTGGCTGATTTATTCGCACCAGCGCTGATCCCGATCGTTGAAGACCGAATCAGCCTATCCGGTAGGTAACTATATCATAGATTTTCTAGTAGAATAATCATGCAATAGTGACACTGAACTAGAATGAGGTCCACAGCATGCATCTTCTTCGCCTTGGAAACTAACTAAGCAGGTCCTGAACGACCGATCATGGATCCGTAGGCACGGGTACGCGAATAATGAAGATTTTCATTTTTTAAAATTACCTTGATTGATTGGCTCACTGGCTAAATTTCATTTCGCGCTCCCCTCTTTCCTGCGGAGATCTCATTTTGATCTAGGGTACTCTAATAGCCTCTTGTTCGGTTTACTAGTAGTCGACGGAGTAAGTAGAAGTCGAGCAGTCTAAGTAGGTGATAGGATAGAGATTCCAGAATCCTCCGTACCGTTCGATTGATTCCATAGTAGATGCAACCTATTTAAATTAACGAATTTTCTTCCCACGTGTGATTTGATTTGATTCAGATCTAGTCTAGTCTACTACTCTGTATTGTACTAGTTGTCTTCCGCTCACCGTCACTTCACCCGCGGGTGTTTCTAATCTTACTTTAGTACTTTAGTGGAGGCAGGGTAGATTAGGTAGTAGTAGTACTTACTCCGTAGTTCGAGTTCGGATCCGAATCCATTTCCTGAATAAATGTATCGTTTTGTATGTAATACCGACCGGAACGGTATTCTTGGTATTTGGTATTTACGGGAAATGTAACCTTTCTTGTCTGGTATGGAGGTACGTATTGATTCCCTTGGATACGTACAAGACGGGGCAGGATTGATAGATATTGAGAGCATACGGAGTACCTACCCTAGTAGGCAGTAGACTACCTCAAGGTACTATCTCTGAACGGAGGATTTCCTTGTTGAGGTCGTAGTGTTATATAAGAATAGTAAAGAGAGAACCTTCCGAGTGCAGTATATGTACATCATAAATTAACATTATAATACCACAATCCTGGTCCAGAGGAGAGATCTACTCTTATGGTGTGTTGGAAGAGCAGTGAGGAAGAAAGTAGTACTAACGTCAAGGGCTCAGGACCCAGCACTGGAATGGACCTAGGTAGCTCATCGAATTCCCAAGAAACGAAATAAATTATTGGCTAAGATGAAGAATTTAATCCAGCGGTGATGCATGGAAAGATCCCCATGCATGCCTCGGTGGAATCATAGCCATTCTCCGTGCGGCAGTTAGCTGGAAGCTTTCTAGGGACTGTATTCTCTCTATTTCATAGACAATTCGGAAGCATAGGCGGGAT